GAGAGACAGCGTGAGCAGGGGAGGGTCAGAGAGAGAGGGAGACACAGACTGTGAAACAGGCTCCAGGCTCTGAGCTGGTAGTCAGCACAGAGCCCGACACGGGGCTCGAACCCACGAACCGCGAGATCATGACTTAAGCGAAAGTCGGACGCTTAACCGACTAAGCCACCCAGGCGCCCCATATCCTTTGTCTTTTTTAATGTATGTATTTAATGCTATAAATCTTCCTCTAAGCACTACTTACAGTATTTCCCACAAATTTCGATAAGTTGTATTTTCACTTTCATTTAGTCCAAATGTTTTCTAATTTCTTCTAAGACTTCTTCTTTGGCCCATTTGTTATTTAGAAGGGTGTTGTTTACCCTTCATATATTTGAAGGTTATCTAGTTATCTTCCTATTAGTGATTTCTGGTTTAATTCCACTGTGACCTGACAGCATGCTTTGTGTGATTTCTATTTTTTTCAGATTTGTTAAGGTGTATTTTACAGCCCTGAACATGGTCTATTTTGGCAAATGTTCCATGTGACATAAAGAATAATGTTACAGTCTGCTGTTTTAGATGAAATATTCTAAAAATGTCAGTTAGAGCCAGTTGATTCGTGGTGTTGGTCAGCTCAACTCTATGCTTACTGGGTCTGTCAATTACTGATAAAGGGATCGTGAAGCCTCATCTATTTCTCATTGTCATTCTATCAAATTTTGCCTCACATATTTTAACACTTTGTTGTTAGACGTCCACTCCTTAAAGATTGTTACGCTTTCTTGAAGAATTGATCCCTTTATCATCGTGTAATGCCCTATTTATCCCTGATAATTTTCTTTGTTCAGAAATCTGTTACTCTGAAATTGACATAGCTACTCCAGCTTTCCTTTGATTAATGTTAGCATGTCATCTATTTCCCCATCTCTTTGCATTTCATCCATCTGTGCCTTATATTTAAAGTAGATTTCTTGCAGATAACATGTCGTTGGGTCTTATTTTTTTATACCCTCTGTCAGTCTCTGTCTTTTAATTGGCATTTTTAGATCATTCACACTTAAGGTTATTATTCATATAGTTGGATAAAAGTCTACCATATTTGTAGCTGCTTTCTGTTCATTATACTTGTTCTTTCCTTTTTTATCTACTTTTTTAAATTTTAAGTTTATTTATTTATTTTTGAGAGAGAGACAGTATGAGCAGGGGAGTGGCAGAGAGAGAGAGAATCCCAAGCAGGCTCCTCACTGCCAGTGCAAAGCTAGACACAGGGCTCGAAACCACAAAACTGTGAGATCATGACCTGGGGAGAAACCAAGAGTTGGATGCTTAACCAACTGAGCCACCCAGGAGCCCCTTTAATCTTTTACTCTCTTCTGCCTCCTCTAGGTTTAACTAGATTTATATGATTCCCTTCTCTTTCCTTCGTTAGCAGATCTGTTATACTTCTTTTTAACGTATCATCAGTGATAGAGTTTTTCAATATACACTTACAACTAATCTAAATCCACTTTAAGGTAACACTACACCACTGCATGAGTAGTGCAGGTACCTATCCACAATATGTTCCCAATTCCTCCTCTCCATCCCTTATAAATTTATTATTACACATTTCATTTATCCATAAGCTATAATCACCCAATTCAATGCTCTGGTTAGATCAATTTAGAACAAGAAAAATAAAATATTTTATTTTACTTCGCTTTATTCCTTCTCTAGCTGTCTTTCCATTTTTATGTAGGAAAAGTTTCTAACCTAATTATTTTTTTTTCTTTCTGAAGAATTTATTTTAACATTCCTTGCAAAGCAGGTATACTGGCAACAAAACCCTTCCATTTTTGTTTGCCTGAGAAAATCTTTATTTCTCCTTTATTGTTTGAAGGATGTTTTTGCTGGATATAGAATTTCATGTTGCTGGGGGAGTATTTTATTTTACATCACTCTCTTCTTGCTTGCCGTTTCTGAAGAAAAAAAAGATGAAATTCTTAGCCTTGCTCCTCTGTACGGTAAGATGTTTCCTTCCTCTGGATTCTTTCAAGGTTTTCTTTTTGTCTTTGGTTTCCTATAGTTTGAATATGAAATGCCAACAAGTAGATTTTTCGGTATTTATTCTTAGTCTTCTCCGAGCTTCCTAGGTCTATGATTTGGTGTCTGTCACTAATTTTAGAAAATTCTCAGCCATTATCATTTCAAATACTTCTACTCTTTTCTCTCTCTTTCTTCTCTTTCTGATATTCCTACTACGTATGTGATGCCTTTGTAGTTATTCCATAGTTCTTGGACATTCTCTTCCTTCTTATTTATCTATTGAGTTTTACTTTTTAGTTTGGGAAGTTTCTAATTTTTTTAAAGTCTTATTTATTTATTTATTTATTTATTTTGAGAAAGAAAGAGAAAGAGAGAGAGAGTGAGAGAGAGCGCGCATGAGCAGGGGGAGGGGCAGAGAGAAGGAGACAGAGAAAATCCCAAGCTGTCAGTACAGAGCTTGATGCAGGGTTCAAACTTAGGAACCGTGAGATCACAACCTGAACCACAATCCAGAGTTGGACACTTAACTGACTGAGTCACCCAGGCGCCCCTGGTTTGGGAAGTTTCTATCCACATATCTTCACACTCACTGATTCTTTCCTTGGCTGTGTCCAGTCTACTGTTAAGTCCATCAAAAGTATTCTTCACTTCTGTTACAGTGTTTTGTTTTGTTTTGTTTAAGTTTCTGGCATTTCCTTTTGATTCTTTCTTAGAATTTTCACCTGTCTACTGACATTACTCATCTGTTCTTTCTTGTTGTCCACTTCTCCATTAGAACCTGAAAATGTATTTTTCCTCCTGACACCAACCAGCTCTAACACCAGCTGGTGTCCTAGAATTCAGTTCAATGACAACACTAAGTACTCAGAATTAGCATCAGACTTCACAGGTGTAAAGCTCAGGTCCGTAAGACTGCCCTCACTTCAGGTGATCAGTCACAGGTTTGGGGTTTCCGGATCACCCACGCTTCTCTCTGACTTGACTACAGAGTCAGGGGTTTCCATGTCCACTCCGTCAGGTCTGATAATTTGCCATACTGACTCACAGAACTCACCCAAGTGAGTTCCTTACCATTGCTGGCTTATTGTAAAGGCTACAACTCAGAAACAGCAGGAGTCAAGTGCAGTTTAACTCCTACTCCCTGCACGCTGATTCTCTCCATTCTCTCCATTCACTACCTAATCTAAGAAGAGATTTCCAGTCAGCTCAGCTTTTCTCTTGTGAGATGTGGAGTGACAGTTTCTAAGCACTTTACATATTGGAACAGGCTGTGTTTGTTTTTTAAAATCTGTTTCCTGGGTGGCTCAGTCGGTTATGTGTCCAACTTAGGTTCAAGTCATGATCTCACAGTTTGTGGATTTGAGCCCTGCATCCGGGCCTGTGCTGACAGCCCAGAGCCTGGAGCCTGCTTCAGACTCTGTCTCACTCTTGCTCTCTGCCTCTTCCTTGCTCATGCTCTGTCTCTCTCTCTCAAAAATAATAAAATAAACATTAAAAATTTTTAATAAAATCTTTTTCTTGATTATGTAAGTAAAAATATTTATTTAGAAATTTAGAAAGTGAAAAGAAGAACCTAAAAATCACCTCGAGTCACCCAGTCTGCAACTAATCAATTGACATTTTTATACATTTCTATTTGTTGTTTTTCTATTTGTGGGTGGATTTATAGTCATAATTATGTCCTTATAAAAGGATGTATACCGCGTGGGGAGTTTTGTATTGTCTTTCCTCCACTGTCAGGGACTATTTCTGAAGCCTCTCTAAAACTGCTACTGAGGGGCGCCTGGGTGGCTTAGTCGGTTAAGCGTCCGACTTTCACTTAGGTCATGATCTCGCGGTTCGTGGGTTCGAGCCCCGCGTCGGGCTCTGTGCTGACTGCCAGCTCAGAGCCTGGAGCCTGCTTCAGTCTGTGACTCTCTCTCTCTCTGACCCTCCCCTGCTCACGCTGTCTCTCTCTCTCTCTGTCTCCTAGAAATAAATAAAAATATTTTTTAAAAAAACTGCTACTGAAAATATTTCCAATGTTAAATGTCTTTTGTGGGGACCCAGACCCGGTGACGAGTTCCCTTCAGGTCTTATGGGGCTGGTGACAATTCTCATCCTCTTGAAGACTGAGGGTCAGGGAAGAAGCAGATGGATCACCTCGGTGTCTACTATAGGGGGAAGGATCAGCAAATATCAGTTAGCTGAATGGGTGCAAATGTCCCCTTTTTCAGCTACAAAAACTAGGAAACATCCTTCTCCCCCTGTTCTCAGAAGCCAGAAAGCCGAAATGCTTCTCATTGCGCATCCAATTAGAAGAACTCAAGGGGTCCCTGTATTTCTTTTCCTTCTCGTTCAAGAGGATTTTTGACATTTCCGTATTAGTAGCTTTTCAAATATACATACATTTTCTGAAAGGCACCTCGTATTTTATTTTGAAAACTGACAATATAAACCACAGATAAGCAAAAGAATGAGGAACTCTCTCTCTTTCCTCTCCTCCTACCCTGAGCACTTTGGTCCGCGGGGGGCCGGGAAAACAGGAGCACAAGGGGGAAGACTCACAGAGAAGGAGGGAAGTGAAGTTACAATATTGGTCAAGGCCTGCCCCAACCTGGAACCACATCAAGCCTTTGCAACTCGATGGTGGTTATTTTTTATCCCCGTCTTACTGATTGGAGCATTGTGATCGGAGTGGCTTATAGAACTGGTGAGTGGGAGAGTCAGGAGAGAACCCATTCACTCATTCATTCATTCATTCATTCATTCGATTTTTATGGAGTAAATAAAAGGTGCTGGCGAGGCTTTGTTCCAATAGCCGATCAGTGTTCTAGCCCCTTTCCTCAGTAAACAAAACGCCCAGACCCCTTCCCCCCGGCCCCACGCCGCTCACGAGGGGAGGGTGCTGGGGGAGTGGTAGGAGGCGACTCAGAGGACGTCAGGCGAGGGGCCGATCCCGGGCTCCGCCCCCGGCCCGCGCGCCCGACCTCCCCCGGCTGCCCGGAGGCCGGCGCTCGGCGCGCGCACCCACAGCCGGCACGCTCGCCGCCCCGCGGGAAGGAAGTCCCGCGGGTCGACCCGGTGTCCTCCCGCTGCGGAGTCTGCGGGCAGCCTCCCGCCCCGCTCGGCCCGCCGGCGCCCGCGGTCGCTGCCGCCCGGGCCGCCCGCAGCGCGCATCGGGGCCGCGGGGCTCCCGAGCCCGATCCGGAGGTGCGGGCGCGCCAATTGCAGGGGGTGGCTCCGAGGCTGGCCCCCCTTCGGGGAGCGGCGAGGCGACCCAGGCGAGGTAAACGGGCTGGCGGGGTCGGGGGATGGGGGCCGCCGGTGCGCCTGACCCCCCGGCAAACGCCGCCGCCCTGCAGCCGCTTCCCGGAATCCCCCGCACGCTTCTCGCCTGCCCTGGACTCCTCCTCCTCCCGCCCAGCTCCCCGCCTCCGCCTCCTGCCGCCGCCGCGCTGGTGCCAGGCCCAGGCTGCTGTCTCCCGCGTCCTTTGTTCCTCGCCCCCCCCGGGACCCCCTTTCTTTGCCCGCGGCCCTGCGCCCCACTTTCCCACCGATGCCCGGGACACCCTGGCACTTGCGGCTGCGGAATGGGAGCCGTTGTGAAGTGCGAGGGTCACACGCCTCAAGATCCATTCGGCCTTGCACTACGGGGTTACCCGCTCGGGCCTCGAGATCCGCCCTCCCCCCCCCACCGCACCCCCCAAGGGAACACCTGGAATTAACCAGCCTTTGCGGCCTAGCGGGCGAGGGTCACCGAGGGGCGACGGGGGCTGGCGAGGCCCGCGCCCTTCCAGACTCACCGCTTGCAAGGTGGGAGGGAGGAGAGGGCGGGGAGACCGAGGAGCGCCCCGCTCCGGGGGCCGGGGAGAGGGGGAGCCCGGTGCGAATTGATGCTGGAGTTCAACCCGGAGACGGCCAGTTCGTTGCGTTTGGAGTTGGGTTCATCAACACACTCGGGAGGTTATCGGCGGCGTTGTTGAGAAACTCTCGATACCCCGCCTCATTTTTTTTTTCTTTTACTATTTGTTTGATGTCCTTGCTTTAGTTTGGCAAGTGGTCTTAGAAGCTAGTATAACGTGCCAGAGGCTCAGATCCGAGCCGGACAAGCCGGCCGGGAGGTGCGAGGCGGGCTCCGGGGCCCTGGAGGGCGTCCACGCTCCCTAGGCGACCTACTGACCGACCCTTGGGGGCTAAGACCCTCAGGCCGCCCCCCTGCCCTACACCAAGGCGAGCTTCCTAAGCACCCGCCCCTCCTCCCACGTACCGTTCAGATTTGGGGAGCAGAGGGGTGGAAAGGGAAGCCACACCAAAATCTGGTCTAAAGAAAACATCTTTTAAACTTTCCTAGGAATATGGGCATGTTGATAAGGTTTGACCCGTTTGTCCAGGAAATGGCTTGAACGTTTAAGTTCTATAGTGTACGAGCTGGTTTTCCATCTTAAATGATCAGAAACCTGCATGACTCTGTTAGTCTTAGCTGTGTTTCCTCCCAATTTCCTCATGTGTTTATTTAACAGGTGAAATCTGCCTGAAATTTGGTTCCTGTTAGGTTATCTAAAAACATTTTAGAAGAATCGCAGCCCCAGAAGTAGTCTTAGAAACGAAACTTTAAAAAAAAAAGTCTGCTTCTTTTGAGATAACACACACACACACACACACACACACACACACACACACACGTGGGGGAGGGGCAGAGAGAGAGACACACAGAATCCAAAGCAGGCTCCAGGCTCCTAGCTGTCGGCACAGAGCCCCACATGGGGCTTGAACTCACCAACCATGAGATCATGACCTGAGCCGAGATTGGGCTTAACCACCCAGGCACCCCTAGAAATGAAACTTTTATTAAAATATATCTCATCCCTCCTGCTTGCACACAGAGCCTTATTGAAGTCATTTTCCCGTTACATTGATCAACCTTCGATCTATTAAAGAATCAGCGGCCTATATATTCTTGACTACCAGTCACCCTATTTTACCAAAACCAAATGCTACTGAGTATGAGATGCACTTTTATGTAACCAAGTAAGAAAAAAAAATGTGCATTCTGATTTCGGAGATGTTTGGATGTCGGAAAGAAATGCATGTTTTATAATCTGTAAAAGGTAATTGGAGCAAAGCAGAGCCTGACAGTACTTTCCCTGCGGTCACTTCATTCCTTCCGAGAATGAAATTGATTGGCGTGGGATCCAGGAAGAATAAGAGAACAGTAGTTCCTTGGGAGAACAGGTGGGCTTTAATAACAGTCCTGAGAAGTCGAAAGAAGAGAAAAAGACAGAGACAGAGAGAGAGAAATGTAGAATGGGGAGTAGTTGAGAGCAGTTGAACATGGTCTCTGGAGCCAGCAGTAAAATGAGGCCACTTAGTTTCCGCATAAGCCAGGGTGCATAGGAGAGATACTCTTAAGCATTATTCTCATTCTAATTATGAGTTTTAAAAAAAAATTTTTTTTTAAACTTAAGTGTGCCCATCCACCAGAAACTTTTCTGGTAAGTGAACAACCATCTTAAAAAGGCTCTCTAATAACAGGAAAGAAGAAAACAGGGCGTTCGGACAAAGGGGCAGCAGTCAGAGGCAGTGAGATGGGGAAAGTCAGCTGGAGGAGGGAGGCGGGGAGAAAGCCAGCACCAGAAGCTGAATCACTCCGAGGGTAGAGGCCCTACCCCCGGAGTAGGTAGGAGTGGCTGGCCCTACCTCACCTCCCCACTAGAGGCATTGAACACCTGCACACAGACAAAATCTTCCAGGAGAAAGCTGGGCGTAGGGTTCCTGTCACCTGTCTCTCCCTTCACTGAGCTCCCCCATCCCAGCGTCAGGCCTTGGGGCTCCAGAAACTGCCCAGGCTTTACAGAACAACCTGGAATCTGGTGTGGAAGGCAAGGAGGTTAAGATTTCACTCCACTCTATCACGGTGATGGATGACAAAGCCATCTAAGCACCAGTAAGGTGGACAGAAGCTGGGAGTGGCAGGCGAAGAAAAAGAAAGGGAAAAAAAACGACCATACAGCTTGCAAGGAGTCCTACTAAAAAATATTACTGCCAGACTAGTAGAAAAATTTTTACATTAGCCTTATAGTCTACAACTTGGTAAAAATACGACTTCAATAAAATAAACTCAAAGGTTGGGATATTTTAAATTGTGATGGAGAGGGAGATTGCAGACAAGATAATTTGAGCACCCTTGAAACATAACTGCAGAAGACATAAAAAAGAGGATACTTTTGAAAATAAAGACATTTTTAACAGAGGGAAGGTTTGATTTAAGCCCAATGAATGCAAATGAACAGAAAAAAAAGATCAAGTCAATTAGGAAGAATCTCATGTGGAAATAAAGAAAGCACAGTCAAGCATTAGCATAATTGGGATCCCTGTCATCCAGAAAGCAACACATGGGACAGAAAATGCAAATAAAAGTAAGATAAAGAAATTTTCTTGAAGAAAAACGGCCTGGAGGCCAAAGGAACATGTTTCAGGAAATTGCCATTTTCCAAATATTCGTATGGGAATGCTGAGCACCAAGATACCTTTGGTGATTTAAAGTTTTTTAGGGGCACCTGGGTGGCTCAGTCAGTTAAGCATCCGACTTTGGCTCAGGTCATGATCTCACGGATTGTGGGTTCGAGCTCCATGTCAGGCTCTGTACTGACAGCTCAGAGCCTGGAGCCTGCTTGGATTCTGTGTCTCCCTCTCTCTTTGCCCCACCTCCACTCATGCTCTGTTTCTCTCTGTCTCAATAATAAGTAAACATTAAAAGAAAAAAAATTTTAATAAATAAATAATTTTTTTTTTTTTAAAAGAAAAAGGTTTTAGGAATCCCGGAAGAAAAAGGAGATAAAAGAGGGGCAAGCCAAAGCAAGCTGGCCTCAGACATTCTAGTGCTAAATTCTAGAACATGATGGTTCTCAGAGAAATGTTTTAAGGGGAGGACAGTGTTCCCAAGAGGGTATTTTGTCCAGCTTAAATGTCACTCGAGGTAAAAGTCAATAGGCAGGCCCTCTCAAATATGAAAGAGCAGAGGGAATTCAAGACCCAGTGAGCTCTTTGGGGGAAAAAATTACTGGATTAGAAAAATCCAGCAAATGGCAAGTTAATGGATAAATCAAAATAAAGACCCCAGGTGTAGAGATCTCACACTCAAAAGGACTGTTGGTGAGTATTTATCTAAGTGTAGATGAGTACCAGATATCTTTGGAAGTTGTAGGTAGGAAAAAAATGTGATTGCTCTATAAATCCAGGCACAAAAAACAATAAAGCAATAATAATAATATTAAGGAAATAGGGGAGGGAGATGAGAGGAAAAAGGAGTGTAGTAAGGTTCTCATCTTTGAAAGCATGGATCAATAAATATGGTTTAATAGTAAACAGTGCCAGGGCGCCTGAGTGGCTCAGTCGGTTAAGCATCTGACTTCAGTTCAGGTCATGATCTCACGGTTTGTGAATTCAAGCCCTGAATCGGGCTCTGTGCTGACAGGTCAGAGCCTGGACCGGTTCAGATTCTGTGCCTTCCTCTCTCTGCCCCTCCCTTGCTCATCCTCTTTATCTCTCTCGAAAATGAATAAAGGTTTAAAATAATTTTTTTAAATAGTAAGTGGTGCTGGGAACATGTAACTTCCTAATGTCTTCCATAACCTTTTTTTTCCCTAAACATTAGAGGAATATTTTAGGAAGTTACTCTTTCTTATAGATAAAAATAATTTAAATGTCAACAGTCTCTTTGGTCTTCCCTTCAGTTTTGTTCCATGTACAATTAAAGTTAGACAAAAGTGGTGTGTGTGTGTGTACGTGTGTGTGTGCACACACACGCACACACGCATAGAAAGATCTCTGGGATTATGTTCACCTCATGTTAATGATGGAAATATCTGGATGCTGGAATTTGCACTTTCATCCAGTATTTTTAATTTTTTTTAATGAGCACACAAAGTTTCACAGAAACAAGAAAGACCTTTGAAAAAGAGACTGGAAACCAACAAACATGCCAAGATGCTAACAGCGGTTGATCCTGATTGGTAGAAGTAACGATGATTGTTACTTTCTTCTTTATGCTTTTTTTTTCTAATTTCCAGGAAAAAATTATGTAATTGTGTTTGTGTAGTATTTCTGAATCCAGTTCATTCATGACTGACTCCCTGACAACCAATGATACGCCAGGCATCAGGCCAGATAGAAGAAGAGACTGTTATGTCCTCCACCAGGAGACTAGAGACCGCAAGTGCCGTGAGGGATTGTCTGTCTGTCTGTCTGCTTAAGGAGGAGTTAGAATTCAGAGAAGGATCACTTCACCCTGTGGTGTGCATTCGTGCAGGGCCCTGGAAATCAGCTGTGTTTGTTGACAGATCAGAGGCGAGGGTCGCTCCCGGTGAGCGACACCCAGAGCTCGTTTGGGACAGTGACTCCAGGGAAACCCAGAAAGGCTGATGACAGCCTTGAATTCAACCTACCGTGTGTGCCTGATGCCCTGTTAGGTGACAGTGAGCTACAGACAGGGCTGGCCACAGTATTTGCAGGGGCCAGAGCAAAATAAAAATGCAGGGCCCACATGTTTAAAAAGCAAGAAGTATCACTGAAGGCATTAAAATATAAAGCTTTTTCCTTTCTTCCACTGTCTGTCTCTCAGCTGATCACTTTGATATTTGCCTTTGAAATGTCCTGAGTAAAAAAAAGAAAGAAATTTGAAACTATTAGCAGGAGTTTCAACCTTTCTGCTTTACTGTGCAAACGCACAGCTCTAAATGCAGATGGAAGTGCCTTAAATTCGTGTGGGAGTCACCGAATTACATAATTGGCGTCTCATAGCGCATGTTGAGAGGTGCCTCGAACTAGCCAGGAGAAGCAAACTGAAGCCAAACCAAGGAGGGCGGCCAAGGGAAGAGAGGTCCCCTCCGGGCACACAGCCCAAGCAGCGTTTCCTGGGCTGCCGTCGGGGCCAGTGCGGCTCCTCACAGGTGCCCGATGCCACTCTGCCCCTTGCGGCTCTGGGTGCACGTGCACTTGGGCCTGCAGGATGCCAGGGTCGCTCTCCTGCTCGCCGCCTTGCACTCCAGCCTGGGGTGGGCTCCGGGGAAGTCCAGCCCTGCATCTCGCCTCCAGGACCTGCTATTTCAACCCACAGCTCACTGGCCATGCCCAAGGGTCTTTAAACCTCTGCCCCCGGACATGCTAGGTACCTGATCAAGACCGCCCTAGATGCTCACGCCCCCCCATGTGGCCACAAGCTCGCCGTGTGTCCAGCAGCCTTCACTACCAAAACACAAGTTCAAAGATAAATTTGTTAAGAATGTCAAGACAGCCATAGGCCAGCAGTAAACTGAGGTAGAACCCTTCTTCGGGCGGGACCCCAGCGCGGAGGTTGGGGAAGAGCGAAGCCAGCCCTTACTAGTAACAGCAGCTTTGCTTTAGGCAGGCTGATTTGTAGTCAGGGAGAGTTTTAAGGAGCCTCATTAACAACACCAGGCAGGACGCCAAGCAGGAAATTAGATTTTCCAAGCAAGCAGGAATCTAGTTACTAGTCATGGGGTTGGAAGTAGAGTGTGGGTCATCAGGAACAAAGGGGAGGAGACGTCCCCTGGTCCCCAGGGGGTGAGGGACTTATAATTGTTCTATAGATGTAGAACAAATGTGAAGATGTACAGTCAGGAAAAGACAGAGGGTTGAGAGGCCACAAGGTAGATGTTCAAGGGTAAGGGAGTCACACCCCATGTGGCATTCTACACTCTAGCCGCAATCAGCATCTAGGGAATGTCTACAACCATGCAGGCCCTCCTTGGGGAGTAATGGTGGGAGATGATGTCACGTGTCTCAAAGATCTCTGTAGATATTCTAAGTGGGTGCAGTATTGTGGGATGGGTTGTAAGCAGAGGAGCCTGGATAGCTCAGGGGTGGCGGAGTCTGTAGCAGGAATGACAGGTTGTTGGTTTTTAAAATTTTTTTAATGTTTTATTTATTTTTGAGAGAGAGAGAGAGACGACAGCATGAGCAGAGGAGGGTCAGAGAGAGAGGGAGACACAAAATCTGAAGCAGGCTCCAGGCTCTGAGCTGTCAGCACAGAGCCCGATGCGGGGCTTGAACCCACGAACTGTGAGATCATGACCTGAGCTGAAGTCGGACGCTTAACTGACTGAGCCACCCGGGTGCCCCTAGGGATGACAGTTTTGACCTGGGAGCCCTTCGACTCCTCTAGGAGAATACCCTGGATGGCACCTGTTACTCTCACGGTCAAGAGGATTGTTTCATTTGTTTTGAGCCTGAACTCAAGTCTGCCGTTTGTGGTCCTTTGTCAGTTTCAGCTTGGGGCTTGATGCTGCCACAGTGTTGGGGGGACAGAACACCCAGAATCTATAGGCCCCAGTTGCTTGGATGGAGACAAAAGCCCTGAGGCAGAGAAGGAACAAGCTCCAGGGGGTCTCTGTAAAATTTGCAACGAATTTCTCACCTTGGAGTGAGAAAACTTACTCACTAGGACTCAAAATGCAGATGCCAAGAAAGGAAATACCTTTAAATCTGAAAACCTACAACTCAGAAACTAATGCATTAAAAAAAAACACCTTTTTTTTTTTTTTAAATCCAGCATGAATAGGACATCTGGGTGGCTCCATTGGTTAAGCATCCGAATCTTGATTTCCACTTAGCTCAGGATCTCAGGGTTCGTGAGTTCGAGCCCCACATCAGGCTTCGTGCTGAGAGCCTGGAACCTGCTTGGGATTCTCTCTCCTTCTTTCTCTGCCCCTCTCCTGCTCGCTCTCTCTGTCTGACAACTCAGAGCCTAGAGCCTGCCTCAGATTCTGTGTCTCCCTCTCTCTCTGCCCCTCCTCTTCTCGCGCTCTGTTTCTCTCTCTTTCAAAAATAAATATTTTTGAAAAAGGAGGAGAAATAATATATATTTGGTTTTGCCTATGCGTAAAGATGTTGTGAAGGACTCAGCAAAAAATGAGTAAAAGTCCTTTTCTGAAGGAATCAAGACCTTAGGCTATTTGCTTTTGTGTATTTTTGGAAACAAATAACTCTGTCGCCTGTTCTGTTCAAAAGTTAAATTGAAAACTTCTTCCGGACTAGATGCGAGCTGGGCCTGGGGTGGACTAGATAAGAACTGGCCCCAGGCCCAGCTCCCCAGGCCCAGCTCCCGGGAAGGCAGAGGAAACTTGGAATGAGAAAATTCCTGTTCCTGCCTCATTGTCCTGTGTTTGTCCTTTGTTATCTTTGTAATTTAAGTAAACACTTTAGCATCTGGATCACCTGATAATGCTTTCCTTTCAGATGTGAAAGTAAAGAAAAGACTTAATAACAAAGATGCTTTGGAGCCAGAATACTTCCTGGATTAGACCACGTAATTTGTATCCCATGGGTAAGTGTCACTTTTGTCACAGTGCTCTTAGGAGCAAACTAGCAAAGTCACCCCCACCCAGATCCCCTGGTGGAGGAAGCAAATGGCTTTCCCTGATGAGGGGCCCGTCCAATGCCAAGGGCCAAATGGAATGTAGACAGGAAACCTATGCCGATTGATGCTCTGGATTTATTATGAGTTTCTGTCCAACTATTAATTTTAGGAAAACAAACAACTAAGAATGACGCGCGGCTCCACAGTGATGGAGAATATCCTCGTAAGCAATCTGAAGAGTAATTTCTCTTAATACTCTCCTTCTAATCCAGGGAGGAGTCAATCACTCTACTCCCATGCTTACAAAGAGGCCAAACCCCGTATCTCTTACCGTGTCACCAGACTGAAAAGTCATCCCTGAACTTTGGCTTCTTGGCTTCGTTTATTATTGATTTTTTTTCTTCTGAAGTCCTGGCCCACTTTTTCTCTACCTTCCTTTTGATTCTGTTTCCATATCGCCGCATCATCTGTTCCATAGCTCATAGGTAGGGGATCCGTGAGCGGGACACTTCTCCCCTGCGCAGGACCGCCCAGGCACCATCACCACCGTCACCAGGGGTCCGTCACCTCCTTGGCCTCCGCGTACTAAAAATGCCTGCACGTCCTCCCCTCCCAAGTCACCGGGCCATCCGGAAAACAAATGAGGGTCCCCAATTCCCATCAGTTTTCTTCCTACACCCCCTGCGCCACCCCTAGCAAATACCTTTACCTTTAAAGTTTCTTAGAGAGCAACATGCATGTGTATTCATATTCTGAGACTTTTTCCAGACAGGCAAATGCTTCTCGGGACATTCTCTAAAGCAACCAGCCCTGGTATCAGCATCAACTCCCAAACAGATCTTATGCTGGATTCACTCAGGTTGAAAGCCTTGGACCATGTGCTGCCGATACCCTCTAAGAACCCTGTACTTGAACTTTTTTTTTTTTTTTTTTAACACAAGGACGTCTCAGTCCAACGTTAGGCCAAGTATACAAAAGAATGCCAAGTGTACAAAAGAATGCCAAGTGTATAAAAGAATGCCAAGTGTATAAAAGAATGCCAGACGCAGAGCCATAATTACAACTTGAGCCTGGAGCGAGTATTTTTGCTTGTCTAATTTTTTTTCTTCTTCCTAGTGTATGTCAGCCTCATGGTTGGTGTGGTATCTGCGTGGCCTGGTAAGAGATTTTTCTTGGCTTGGCTGAGTTTTGTGTCAGGGACAGAGGATTGGGGTGACCACTGGGTGGGGTGACCATTTAGAGAAATCTAAAATGCAGGGAGTTTGATTTCTGATGCCAGATCTGTTGCCCATTTTTGTCTGAATCCTTTCTCTCAGGTTTTCTCAAATACTCTTCTTTTCTCTGTCAAAGAAGCCAAAAGTAGCCACATTTTCACATTTGTCTCTCAAAACTCTTATAAAATATTAATACCAAAGACTATTTTTTTAATGTCTATTCATTTATTTTGAGAGAAAGAGTGTGTGTGTGCCTGTGAGCAGGGGAGGGGCAGAAAGAGAGGGAGAGAGAGAGAGAATCCCAAGCAGGCTCCACCCTGTGAGCGCAGAGCCCCACTCAGGGCTCAAACCCAGGAATCATGAGATCACGACCCAGGAGATCATGACCTGAGCCGATATCAAGAGTCGGACACTTAACGGACTGAGCCGCCCAGGTGCCCCACACCAGAGATCATTTTAAAACTCTTTGAAAGAATTTTCAGGGGTCCTGGCTAGCTCAGTCAGTAGAGCGTGTGACTCTGGATCTCAGGGTTGTGAGTTTGAGCCCCGTGTTGGGTGTATAGTTTACTTAAAAATAAAATCCTTTAAAGGAATTTTCCATTTAAAAACTCTTAATCTAGGATTGAGGAGATAAAGACTAGGTCAAACAAAAAACAATCCAGAAATGATTTCCCTTTAATTTGCATTCCTACACCCGTTTTCTGGTGCCAGGTAAAGGAAAATAACTTTTTTTAAACTAAACACCTTGCCTACATATATAAATCTGTCCCCATAATCTCACTATGCTTTAACTATATGTCCAACCTTGTGATGAGCACAGGGGATGAGGAGTTTGCAGTCAAGAAGCAAAGGTCTGTCCTAGGTTCTAAGTACAGGAAGCTTCGAGAATCACAAAAAGTGAATTTTGGGGGGAAAAGAAAAAGAGAGAGAGAAAGAGAGACTTGCATTTGAACAGGATTTGACAACTATAGCTTTAAATTTTTTTAATGTTTTTATTTATTTTTGAGAGACAGAGAGTATACAGGCGGGAGTGGAGGTGGGTGAGAGGGTGAGGAGGGACAGAGGATCCAAAGCGGTCACTGTCAGCAGAGAGCCCGATGTGGGGCTCGAACTCACAAACTGTGAGATCTTGACCTGAGCCAAAGTTGGGCACTTAACCGACTGAACCACCCAGGTGCCCCACAGGTATAGCTTCAGAGTCTGTCTCATTTGCCGCTGCCTCTTCCCAGCTGCGTAATACTGTATAAGCCAACTTCTCAGTTTCACAATCTGTAGAATGGGTCTGTTAAGAGCACCTATTTCAGCATTGCCGCCCAGATTAAATGCCTGGAAAGGGCCAGTCTGGGCATACATTATCTGTCCCTTCCTGCCATGACTAGGGCATAAGTGCAGTGGAGGGAAGGCAGGCAAAGGGCTGGGCTGTTTCGAGCACTGCAGAAGGACTTAGAGTGGAGTTGAGAGAATGAGGTGGCCCAGGACAGAATGACATAGATCATTTTGATTCAGTAAGCCACTGAGAGTCCCTGATCATTAGCGTGAGCCCGAATTCTGTTTTCACAGGGCCGAGTTCCTGTATCCTAAGCTTGCCCGCCCTCATAGTTTGTTGTGCGTCAGTTAGTTGTATTCCTTCATTCCTCGTGCCCACCAGAACCATCTCCTTCCTGTGTTCCCCAGGCCCCCGGGGTTTCTGTGCTGGGAGCGTGGGCTCCAAATCCCAAGGGACAGAAGGACAGAGACTAGCTAAGCAACACCCTGGGTTCCAGATTTCAGTCTTGTTTTTTTCCTTCTGCTTCCTTTAGATTCGTCTGATGAATCTTGCACTTTAAAGGTGACATTTCCCAATTTCCGGCTAATCTTATCATGGGAATTAAAAAACCATTCGATTGCACCGACTCACTATACGTTGTGGTATACCATCATGAGGTTGGTTTGACGTTTTATTTTTTTCTTGCTAAGTATATTATCTTGTTACTAATTGGGGAGTGGAGAAGAGTCGTAATCTTACTTGTGATGAAGCTTCTGTCCCCTTCTCTCTCTGTTTTGTGTTCAGAGCTTTAAAAGTCCAAGAACAAGACACAAGTCTGTTTTTAATTAAGCTGAATACTTTAACAATCCAAAACTATTTCTAACAAAAGTTGTATTTATAACCATTTCTACAGGTCAGAGCCTCATGAAAGCAAAATAAATACCGTGTGTGGTTTCCATAATTATTTCTCTGACTCAGGAAGTCTGAATGTTTAAAAACCCTGTTTTCTGAGGTTGGGAGTCCAAAGATCTGGTGACCATGCTATGTCCTATTTACTTTTCTTTGCTCAGGGAGGCGTGTGGCACATCAGAGAGCTGCCTGGCCCAGACCAGGAGAGGCTCAGATCTGAGGTCTGGCTTGATCACTAATCAGCCGTGACCTTCAGGCACAGAGTTCAGCTTCTCTGAGCTCAGCGTCCTGCTTAGAGGTTGCTGCAGAGAGTAATGACTTAATGGATAGAAACTTCTATGCCTCTGTTTTTCCACCGACTGACATCACCCTTATAAGTTGTTACTTTGATCTAGTAGCTGCGCTCTATTGTTTGCTGTTTATGTGGCTAATAAGAGCTGTTACTACCCCTGACTGACCCACGGGAGGCCTCTCGTGAGTTTCTCTGCCAAAGTCTTAGTTTCTCTCTGCGTTAGGTGGTCACACGTATCACCTACTTACCTTTCTGAGGCTCAAGAAATCAGACATCTGTGTCATCCCCATACAGAACAAGCTGACTTAGGCCTGAACGGTGTGATCCTCAGCTGGAGAGAGAGTATGTCTCAGGGAGGCCACTCATGAGGGTCCCGTAAGGGCAGGGAGGTCTGGGGCTCTGCCATGAAAGTATAAGATTTGCTCATTCTTTCATCCAGCAGATATTTACTGAGCACCTACTACATTGCCAGGGGCCTACCCTGAACCAAAGCCCTTGACTTCCTGGACCCTAGAGCAGGCATTCTGAAAGTAGGCAGACATATCAAAAAAGCAAATAAAGATATAATGTAGTAGGTGGTGGTAAATGGAATGCAGAAACATAAAGATGAGCAAGAGGGATTAAGAGAGAGAGGGTGGACATGATGGGGTAAGGTGTTCCTTTTTTTTTTTTTTAAGTTTATTTATTTTTGAGAGAGTGAGCAAGCACAAGCTGGGGAAGGGCAGAGAGAGGAGAGAGAGAGAATCGCAAGCAGGCTCAGTGCCATCAGTGCAGAGCCTGATGCAGGGCTCAGACTCACGAACTATGAGATTATGAGTTGAGCTGAAACCAGAAGTCAGATACTCAACTGACTGAGCTATCCAGGTGCCCGATGGTATTCCATTTTATTTTATTTTAAAAATATTTTACTTTACTTTATTTTATTTTATTTAATGTTTATTTATTTTTGAGAGAGAGAGAGCATAAGCAGGGGAGGAGCAGAGAGAGAGGGAGACACAGAATCAGAAGCAGGCTCCGGGCTCCAAGCTGTCAGCACAGAGCCGGACACGGGGCTTGAACCCATGAACTGTGAGATCATGACCTGAGCAGAAGTCGAATGCTTAACCGATTGAGCCACCCAGGTGCCCCAAGGTGTTCCATTTTAAATAAGGTGGTTAGGGCAGGTGACTTGATACAGTGATTCTTGAGCAGAGCCATAAAGAGTTAAGGAAGTTGGGCATGGGATTCTCCATCACATAAATGCTAAAGTTTGCCTTTTCTCATTTCTCTCCCTTTCAAAGTAAACCAGATGATATGAAGATTGTTGAGCACTGTTCAAATATCACAGCGTCATTTTGTGACCTCACTGATGAATGGGAAGTCCTGTCTGAGACATACATCCCCAAAGTTGATGGATTCAGAGGAAACAAAATGGTGGTCAGCTGTATCAGTGATTTCTTCCTGGGAGCACATGGTGAGTTCGTCTCTGCTTCTCATTTTCATCATCATCATTATCAAGGTCATCATTATTTGCTTTGCCGTGACATAGGCAGGTCTGCAGAGGGGTCTGAAACTCAGGGCTACGTTCACCGGCTGGCCTTGCCACTTCCTAGCTCTGGAACTATAAAATGTTTGCTTCCCTGAGCCTTAGTTTTCTTATCCAAAAAATGGGACGATAATCTGTACTTTGCAGACGATTCCTCACTGCCTGTCTAAGGCAGGCAATTCCGGCAGCAATGGTTGGTTTGTTCATTGCACAACCTGACAGGAAGTAGGTTGTGAGGTCCAGAAGGCCTGTACCTGAGCTGTCCCAACTCTTTGGGCCAATGTTTTCCTTTATACTGTCCCCGCTCCCCCAGATCAGAACCCAGTAGTTCTTGTCTATGTCAGTCCCAAGGCATGTGTGCACCCGGGGCACAGACTTGGAGGAGACTGGAGCCCAAGAGTGGGCCTGCCTCTCCTTCTTTCCCTGCAGCTGGAGTCGGCTCCGTGTGGCACTTGTGTTAAACAGCTCCCAGGGCGGTTGCCGGTGGCCCTCAGCCAGACTCCAGCACTTCTTCTACGTCCTAATTTTCAATCTGTTTCCAAGAGATTCGGTTTCCACTCCTGTTAAAGGCTGTGTGGATGCGCGTTCAACATACATGCTTAGCAAAGTGACGATAACCGAGTCCCACTGTCGCAGACAACTCAGATGCTTACCAGTCACTGGATGTGTGTGTGTATGTTTGTGTGTGTATGTTTATGTGTATCCAGAAAAGAAAAGAAAGAAAAGCGCAAATTACAGATCATGGTGTTCAGACTGTTACAGGAAATATAGTAAAGTAAGAATGCGATGTCATTTTTCAAGACTCAAAATGGTAAATGTTAAACATATGTAAACCACCAGGTTTAGAGGAAATGCACGGAGTGTACTTTGGCACCATCTTTCTGAAAATATGTAGCAGGATGTATTAAAACCTTAACGTGCCCCTGCTCTAATCTAGAATTCCTCCTTAATACTTTGTCCCAAAGACACAGTTATGGACAAATGTAATGATTTAGCTCCAAGAATGCTCATTGGCACAGCGGTTCTATTCAGAAAATGTAGAGACAGGGGCACCTGGGTGGCCCAGTCAGTTAAGCATCCAAGGTCGGCTCAGGTCACGATCTCACGGTTCTGGGCTCAATCCCCACATCGAGCTCTGTGCTGACAGCGTGGAGCCTGGAGCCTGCTTCGGATTCTGTGTCTCCCTCTCTCTCTCTGCCCCTTCCCTTCTCCCACTCTGTCTCTCTCTCAAAAATAAATATACTTTAACACAAACTTTTTTAAAGAAAGAAAAGAAAATGTAGAGACAATCTAAATGTTCAAAACAGCAAATCAGTTAAATGATAGTAAAGCCAGACACTTAGTGGAATAGAATCAACCATAAAAAGTTATAATGAAGATCCAGGGTCAGCCAACTTTCTGTAAAGGCCAGAGAAGAAATACTTTAGACTTTATGGGCCACATATCATGCACCATGTCACCTACCCTTCTTCAGTTGTTTTACAACCCTTTTATGTTTTTAAAGTTTATTTATTTATTTTGAGAGAGAGAGAGAGAGCAAACGGGGAGGGAAAGAGAGAAAGGGAGAGAGAGAGAATCCCAAGTAGGCTCCATGCTGTCAGCATGGAGCCAGATGCAGGGCTCCCAAACTCAAGAATCATGAGATCATGACCTGAGCTGAAATCAAGAGTCAGAGGCTTAAGCAACGAAGCCACCCACGTGCCCTCCAACCCTTTGAAAAATAAGAACTACTATGAACTGGCAGACTGTTCATAGTAGTTCAAAAATCCAGGCCATAGGTCCATTTTCCACCCCTTGATGTAGATAAATATGCATTAGTATGCTTTTGAAATGAGTTAAGTGAAATATATACCATGCAAAATTGTAGGTAAGAATGACTTAATTTTAAGTGAGATATGTGTACGTGTATATACACACTAGTTCAGTTTGTATACGTGTGTATATATGTTTACACTGATCTACTGTAGACAAAAAATGACTAACCACATTCAAGGACAATTGCCTCCTGTGTTTCCTGATATTTCTGCAACAGTGGGGTATCGTTATTATAATATGGTAAGAAGTCATTTTTACTTTTATGTTTGGAAGACAATCTGAAAATCCAGAAAGTACTGACTTCCATCCTGGAGTCCGTCCCCCATGACTTGTGGTCATTTTGAGTGAATCACGTCACTTTTTTGTCGTCAGCGTTTCACCAGTAAAAAACAAACACAACCCATGCCTCAACTAGGACCATAAGCAGGTTAAAGACAAAGTGGTTGTCGAGAAGTCAGGGTGTATTACAGCCATGGGATTGTTACTGTTATGCAGTCGTTGGCTGACATCACTGGGGTTTGATTCCGATTTCGTTTTCTAAACAGTGTCTTTGGAAACGCCGGAGTTTGATATTGTTGGCTTTACGGACCACATCAATGTCATAGTGAAATTTCCACCCGTCATTCCCAAGATACTCGATGGGGAAATCTTACAGTTTTACCTACCTCTCGTCATCGAAGAACAGTCAGGGAAGATTGTGAAGAAGGTAAGTGGCTAAAACAGTTCTGAGCTGACAGTGAATGTATTTGACTGTCTTCTTAAAAAGAAAAAAGACGTGTAATGATTTGAGCAATGAAGCCTAAAGGGTCTGAATCCGTGACGTTAAGAAAGAAGTCTCCATAGTTCATTCATTGTGGAAATATGTTGACTTAGCCTAGTAGTGTTGTCTTCTTCCAAAGAATAAGTCACATGCACGACATCAAGGGACACACAGGACCGAGAAAGGAATGTGGTGTGGACGAAGGGAACAGGCTAGCTTCAGCACACTGGAGCGAAATTCCAGAATGCCGGAATGAGTGGAAGTGGGCCCTGGCTGGCACAGCAGCTTCCATGTGCATAGCCCTTGGCCAATTATAAACTCTTGCAAGTACCAGCCCATAAGGGGCAGGGGCATTTCAGGCAAAGGGCACAGGGAGCAGAGGTCCTGAGGCTGGAATGGACCCAGTAGATTCAAGAACCATGGCAGGGAGCCGGAATGGATTAACCGAGACAGGAGAAAAGAAGGAGGCGAGGTCAGCGAGGCGGTGGGTCTCAATCTTTTTGGGCTTCGAGGGTCCGAGGCTTTGAAGTATCAGGAAGCTGCTAGAGGACCTGAGGTTTTAACAGTGCATCCTGGCTGGTGTATTGAGAATAAACCATAGGAGCCAAAGGTAGAAGTTGGGAGACCAGTTAAGAGGCTGTGGAGATGGTAATTACTTAGTAAGAAATAGCAAATTATATAATTATAATTTTTGCTGTAATATCTACCTGGGTATAATCAACACCCTAATCCTTTGATTAGGAAAAGGAAACAAAGATAACAAAGGGAAAAAAGAAACTTATGTAGCTCAGAGACTGCATCAAATCTCTTTAAATATCATAATCCAGTCACATCTAATTTGTAGTCAACCCATGGGTTGCAAACTCTGTTTGAGATGATTATTTCTAAAATAAGAGAGCTATGATTATTAGGATATTGACAATACCTTAAGAGGAAAATGATGGTTCATATGCATCTTCTTCATTAAAGAAAAGTAATCTTTAGATTAAATTAGCAAGAAAAAAAGAAGAGGCTACTGGTGTCATGCAGGTGACAGATGGTGGTGGCTTGGACCACTTGGCAGTAATGAGAAGTGGTTAAATTCTGCATATATCTGGCAAGTGGAGCTGACTGTATTTTTGGATGGATTGGATGTGCCATGTGGTGAAGAAAGAGCCAAGAGCATCTGGAAAGATGGAGTTTCCATTAATTAAAATGGAGAAGATTACAGAGGCACCTGCGTGGCTCGGTTGAGTGTCCAACTTCAGCTCAGGTCATGATCTCGCGGTTCATGAGTTCAAGCTCCGAGTCGGGTTCTGTGCTGACAGCTCAAAGCCTGGCGCCTGCTTTGGATCTGTGTCTTCTCCCTCTGCCCCTCTCGGGAGGGGCACACTCTGTCTCTTTCTCTCTCAAAACTAAATTTAAAAAAAATTTTTTTTTAATTTAAATGGGGAAGATTACAGATGGAAGAGGTGGATGGTTGGATATCAGCAGCTTGGATCTAGATATGTTAAGTTTGAGGCACCTATAAGGCATCCAGGAGGAGATACTGAGCAGGAGTTGGACGCTCTGAGTCTGGAGCTCAAGGGAGAGCCCCTCACTGGAGAGACGTCCCGGGGAATTGTTGGCTTCTCGGTGTGTATTGATCCCTTGAGACAAGGTGAGATCACCTGGAAGTGGATATGCAGAGGGAAGAGAAGACGTCCAAAGTCAGAGCCCCAGAAGCCCAGAATATAGAGATCTAGGAAATGAGGAAACAGTAAACGAGACTAGAGGGTTGCCTGGCTGGCTCGGTCGGTAGAGCATACAACTCTTGATCTCGGGGTCGTGACTTCAACCCCCACGTTGAGTGTGGAGGTTACTTAAAAATAACATCCTAAAAAAAAAAAGAGAGAGCCTGGGAAGGAGCAACCAGCATGGTAGGAAGAGAACTAGGTGAAAGCGATGTCCTGGTTGCTGAGAGAAGAAAGTTCCAGAAGGAGAAAGTGATCTACTGGATCAAATGCTATCAATGGGACATGTTAGGTGAGGACTATGGGTTGAGTATTGGATTTAGCAGCATGGAAGGCCTGGTGACCTTGATAAGAGTGATTTCAGTGGAGTGATGGGGTGAGGACCTAGTAAGAGTGGATTCCAGAAAGAGAAGAGAGAAATTGGAGACAGTGAGGAGAACTAATCCTTCTAAGGAGCTTTTCTGTAAAGAGGAGAGATACTCTGTGGTGGCTATAGGAGTAAGTGGGGTCAAGAGAGAGAGAGATTTTATTTTATTTTTAAGTTTATTTCATTTTGAGAGAGAGAGAGAAAGAGAGAGAACAAGGGAGAGGCAGAGAGCAAGGGAAAGAGAGAATCCCAAGCAGGCTCCACGCTATCAGCACACAAAACCTGACTCGGGGCTGGATCATGAACCATGAGATCATGACCTGAGCCGAGATCAAGAGTCAGACACTTAACCAACTGAGTTGCCAACCAACCCGGGTGCCCCATGGGAGGGACATTTTAAAATGAAACAAGTTGGGGTGCCTGGGTGGCTTAGTCAGTTAAGCGTCCGACTTTCGCTTAGGTCATGATCTCGCGGTTCGTGGGTTCGAGCCCCCCGTCGGGCTCTGTGCTGACTGCCAGCTCAGAGCCTGGAGCCTGTTTCAGTCTGTGACTCCNAGCTCAGAGCCTGGAGCCTGTTTCAGTCTGTGACTCCCTCTCTCTCTGACCCTCCCCTGCTCATGCTCTCTCTCTCTCTCTCTCTCCTAGAAATAAATAAAAATATTTTTTTTAAAAAATTAAAAAATAAAATAAAATGGAAGAAGTTATGGTGCGCCTGGGTGGCTCAGTTGGTTGAGTGTCCGACTCTTGATATCGGCCCAGGTTATGATCTCACAGTCATGAGTTTGAGCGCCATATTGGGCCCCGCACTGGGTGAGGAGCCTACTTAAGATTCTCTCTCTCTCTCAAAATAAAATAAAATAAAATGGGAGAAGTTACAGCACGTTCTTATGCATATGGGATGCTCCAAAGGATTGCTGGAGCCATTGTGCTTGAGGAAACGAGGATGGACGGAATCTCATGCGCACAAGAAGGAGTTGGCCTTGGCACAGAGCAGGGACTGTGCATCCAAGGCAAGTAGGGGAGGCAGGACACTCAGGCGAGCTTCTGTTTGCTTGGTGAAACAGGAAGCAAGTATGGCCGACTTCACCAAGATCACACAACCACAGCACCAGGTGTGAAACCCAGATAGTCTGACTCCCCGCTGCTATTGGCTGTTTCTCTTGGAGGTGAGAGCCCTCCCTCCACGATACTGTTTCCACTTCTGTCCCCTTTTTCTCCGTCGTTGCTTATTGGCGATGTGTGAGAGTTTAGCTTATTAGGGATTTTTCTTTTCTTTTCTTTTTAATGCTTCCTTCTTCCAAGCAGAAATTTACAGAAAAACATTATTACAGAAGGTAGTATGTGAACAGCTGGAAATCCTGATTCATAGAACTGCTAGTATTTTGAAAACTAGAAAACGTGATGCAGAAGTTGTTTTTCTTGAAAGAAACTTCGTATCATCTCTTTAATTCCAAAATGGAACAGAACTCCTTGGGAACAGAAGAGGCAAGGTGTCCAAAGGGAGAAGATGAGGAATTAGACTTTAGCCGCAGTTCTGCCGCAACCAAGCTGTGTGGCCTTCGAACGTTACCTAACCCCTCTGAGTGGGGGTTTCCTCATCTGGAGAACGGGAATAATTTCAACTTTGCGGACTGTTTTCGTAATCACATTCATTAATATGTGTGAAGGTACTTTCTGAAGGGGAGACACATCTCATTAATGAAAAAAGATAACCTTATTTTTATTTTCTTGTTTTTGCAAGATTATCTTAATGCAAGACCAAATAATCTTATAAAAATGACATCATGGAAACTTTTTTCGTTTTCTTTTTTGTTTCATTTTATTTAGCTGAGAAAGAGAGAGAGCACACGTGGGAGAGAGGGGCAGAGGGAGAGAGAGAGAGAGAGAGAGAGAGAATCTCAAAGAGACTCCATGCTCAGTGCAGATCCCTCAATGCTTTAACCAACTGAGCCCCCCAGGCGCCCCAACATCATGCAAACTTCTATTCCTCATTGAAACTTTTTCTACTCATTATAAAATTCCATTGCTAGACTAGATTTCATGGTTTAAAAACGTGATGGTACCCATGTACATCTAGCTTTGTGCTAAATTGCTGGCCCCAAATAACTTCTTTTTCTTTTCAAGCCTAAGATCTTTCTATCCCCATTTAAGATATGAAAACAAATCCCCCAGGGGACTCATCGGGTCTGGCTCCAAATGAAATTCTCACTCAAAGTGTTCCTGATTTTTTGCTTCCTTTTTCAGCACTACCCCAAGCTAAATGGAAACATCAGTGGAAATTTCACTTACGTCATCGACAAGTTAATTCCAAATACAAACTACTGTGTATCTGTTTATTTTAAGTCTAGAGATATGGGAGGAATAAATAGATCTCCAGTAAAATGTACCTTCCTTCAACCTGGACGGGATACAGGTATAAGTTTTTTAAAGTTCATATTTTGCTTTTATGCGGAGGGAAAACCTAGCTAAAGAACAGAATCTGAAAGTCATGGAGCCCTAAGCTACTCCTTCCCGTAAAATCACATCAGAGATGCTCTCTATTGGTCAGTCGCTGCGATGCGGCGAAGTCACCAGAGGGACAATCAGGTATCTACCTTTGTCCAGTCAAATCCTCCTGAAGTGCAAACGCTTTTAGCTCGGGGAGTCGGGATTAAATTCAGTTCTGGGTGCCCCGGGTTTGGCCATTATTCAAGCCAGCTGCTGGAGGAGGCAAGGGACGAGTTGCATGCAGAGGTGTCAAGAGGGTCAAACTGCGGAGGCTGGGTGGGGCTCCCTGGCGTGCCAGCTTGCAGGAAGGTTGGCTGTAGCTTGTAGATGGAAGGGAACCCGACCAGTGTGTATGACATAGTCCCCGATGAAGACTCAAAAGTCCTTTTGTTACAGAGGCATCAGAACAGTCAATAGCACAGTCCCCGAACCTTCCTCCGAGTGGAGAAATCTGCAATGAGAACAGTCAGGCTTAGGGACATTCACTGCTGATGACTTGCCTGGGAAGTAACACAGTCCCTAATCGTTTTGCCAAACGTGAACATCTCCACCAAAGGAGCCTTTCTGAATTTCCCAGCCCCGACGAGAGTTTCTTTAATGGTCTGATTTCCCAGAGTACTGACAAAATGCGGGGGGGGGGGGGGGGGGGGGGGGGGGGGGGGGGGGGGGGGTTGGCGACAGAAGGAAGCAGCTGTAACGGTATGGCTTCTTTGTGGACTAAGAGGAACTACACCCCCCAGTGCCTGCCGCCTGGCTTGTGGGGATGCTTAGTGCGATTCTACTCTCCAGCGTTACGTAGGGTCGAACGATGCACAGAGTGATTTTAAAGGAAAAAGTATCTCCTTTAAAGTATCTTTCAAGGAAAAAGGCGTTAGCTTAAATCATTATTGTAGTGTCAGTTAGGTGTGGGCCAACCTAAACTTGCATACAAATTCCTTATGCCTGAAGCTCTTACAAAAATGTGAACCCCAAACAAATGTACATGTTTGTGTCCTAATACCAATTCTCCAACGCCAACCGGGTGTCCAGTGATTCAGTTCATTTCTGACACTCTCTGGAGTGAGTAGGCCCTGCAGGTTTAGGGGCTCCGTCCCTCGAGACTGTCCCCTCTTCAGGTGCCAGCTGCCAGTATGACCATCCACACATCTCTGCAATCTGGCTACAAATTCAGAGGGTCCCACGATCTCCCCTCACATTTAATAACTCACCAGGATTCATGGAACTCAGGAAGCACTATCTTAGGATTACTTTTTTTTGTTGTTTTAATGTGTATTTATTTTTGAGAGAAAGAGAGACCCAGCGTGAGCAGAGAGAGGGGGAGACACAGAATCTGAAGCAGGCTCCTGGCTCTGAGCTGTCAGCCCAAAGGAGGCTTGAACTCACAAACCTTGAGATTGTGATGTGAGCTGAAGTCAGAGGCTTAACTGACTGAGCCACCCAGGTGCCCTTAATTTTTTTTAATGTTTATTTTTGAGAGAAAGAGAGAGCGAGCACGGGAAAGGGGAGAAAGAGAGAGAGAGCATGGGGGGAGGGGGGGAGAGAGAGAGAGAGAGAGAGAGAGAGAGAGAGAGAATCCCAAGCAGGCTCCACGTTGACAGCAGACAGCCTGATGCAGGGCTTGAACTCACAAGCCGTGAGATCATAACCTGAGCCGGTCTGACGCTTAACTGACTGAGAGCCACCCAGGTGCCCCAGGATTACTGTTTTATCACAAGAATACAGTGAACTGCCAGATGAAGAGGCACAGTCTGGGGGGGTCCCGGGAGCTTCTGTTCCCATGGAGTCAGGGTGCACCACTCTGCCCATACATCCGGGTGTTCCCGGACCCGGAATCTCCCCCAGCCTTGCTGTCTAGAGTTTATACTGGGTTTTGTTACGTAGGCAGGATTAATGAAATCATCATCCAGTAGTGATTGAACTCTTTCTCCAGCCCCTCACCCACCCACCCCCAAAGGTCAGGGGCCAGAAGTTCCCACTCTAAACACCAGGCTGGGTTTTCTGGTGACCAGCTCCCCCCCATCCAGCGCCCTCCCTTGAGTCACCTCATTAGCGTAAACTCAGATATGGTCCCTAAAAGACACTCCTATCACTGAGGAAATTCTAAGGGTTTTTGATGGTCTGTGCCAAGAACCAGGGGCAAAGACCAGATTTTTATTATTATTATTATTGTATTTTTATTATTGTCATTACTATTTTTTATTATCATTATCATTATTATACCATGATCTTATAGACAAACGAAATTGCAAACCAACTGAATGGAGAGCTATTTCCCCTTCTACTCACAGAACACTTCTGTACTTCCCTGTGTGAGGGGGTTTCCCCCCTCCCACGCAATTCGCCCACACCAACTCAGTGTCCTACAATTTAACTCAAGTCTGATGCTCCTACCTGGAGTTAGGGGCTCAGTTCCACAGGACTGCCCCTCCCCCACCTAAATGCCAATTGCAGGTCAAAGTCGTCAGCGGGTGTCAGACCGACTGGCTATAAATCAGAGATTCTCACAGCCCCCTCCTCGGGTTTGATAATTTGCTAGAATGGCTCACAGAACTCAGGAAAACCGTGTCTTTCCTGGATTCCTGGTTTATTATAAAAGGGCACAACCCAGGAACAGCATAGGTGGAAAGCTCCATGTGGCAAGGTATGAGGGGAGGGCAGGGAGCTCAGCGTTCGCCCAGTTGCCCAACCCAGAAGCTGTCCTCTGGAGATTTTATGCACACTTCATTACAAAGGCAGGACCAATTAAATCCTTTGCCACTGGCAGTTAATTCACCCTCCAGCCCCTCTGTGGTCCCCAGAGGTCCAGGGGTGAGACTGAAAGTTCTAGTCATGTGCCGGTTCCCCTGGCAACCAGCCAGTATCCTTAGGAACTTTCCAAAAGTCACCTCATTAGCATAAACTCAAGTGTGCTTGAAAGGGCTTGGTTATGAACAAGACACCCCTTTCATTTTCTTTGCTCTCATCACTGAGGAAATGAACTCCATACCCTGCAGGAAGTGGGGACAGAGACCAACGATAGATTTTTTTTTTATCGTAAATCACAATATCACCAATAAAAACTCAAATTAGAAATATGACCTGACAGACGAGGGTTTGCTAAAACTCAGTCCCCACTTGGAAGATGAATGTCAAGACTGACCAAAGGCACGTGTTCTTTGGAGGCTGACATGCGCTGTGATGACTCAGTTTTTGCCCTGCCTTTCCTGTTTCCCCTGCTAAGAAATAGTCGTGCAATAATTGCATGTTGTCACATCGTTTCATCTTCACTCGGTGTAAACACATCATTTTGCGCATGAAGTCAACCTCTCTTCTTATATCATGGCCCTTGACAGTTAAAGAACAGGCATCCCTCACTATCCGAATATTTGAGGTCTCAATTCTTACTGTCTGAAACTCAGGAACCAAGGAGGTTCACATAATGTGGACTTCCTGACTGTCCAGACTTGCCATGGGAACTAACTTCAGCTAGGCCAACTTGGGAACCAGACAGGTTAGGATGGTGGGAGACGGCGGAGAGGTCTTGAAAAATAACTTGGGACCAGTGTGATCTTCCCCAGACTCTGCGGTGAGCACAGGCATGACTTGCATGGGGGGAGTTCAGTCCAGAGATCGACAGAAATGTCTCCCCTTTGGTCGAGTCCAAAATTACCCCGTTGGCTCTTTCGCTAAGGCCCTGAGGGAAAGCTGTGCCCATCCATTTGACAAATATTTATTGAGAACCCACTGTCTGCTGGATTCTCTTATAGACGCTGGGGATACGACAGGGAACAAAACAAATAGAACTAACACTTCCTGACCATGCAGAGCTTACGATGCAATAGAGAGAAAGAAAAACAAAATTTATAAAGGTACTTGCAGTCAGAAGGTTGGACTTTTGACAAGAAAGGGGCACTGAGTAGGGCAGAAGTGGGCTCTGCAGAGCCCTGGCGTGGCCAGAGTCCAGCCTGCGAATGACCCAGTTGTTGTTTTTCAGACAAACTTGCCTTTTCCACTTCTTTCTGCTTGCCATGTCTACTGTTGAATAACAGACTTTCAACTGAGTCCATTTGGAAGGTCTAATTAGCTTCATTGAACGATTTGTGCATTGGGCAGCATCCCATCTAGGAAGCAGAAAGGAGCCCCAACGGGCTTCAGAAAGAAAAATGTTTGTAAAGGCAAAACAAGAAGTCAAACGAAAAATAGGATTATTTTCAGGTGAGGTCACCTCCCTGTGAGGGACCGAAGAGTCTTATTCTATTAGGTGGATTACCTCATTGTGCTGAGTGGGAAATTCCAAAATGACTAAGTTTGGTGATGTGGGCCGGGCTTAAAAGGACTCCTTTTGGGGCCTTGAGTTTTCTTTTTAACCATACTAACAGGTGGGTATTGAGCCTTTGAGATATGGCTAGTACGAATGGGAAAGTGAGGTTTTGTTTTGTTTGGTTTTTTTTCAATTTTGATGATTTAAATTTAAGTAGTCCCATGTGGCTGATGGCTCCTGTACGGGGTAAGTGCAGTGATAGAACATCATTCTAAACTGGAAGAATTTTCACTTCTAAAAATTAAATCTGGCATTTTTATCATTTAAAACTAGGTATACTTGGATTTACTTCGATTCTTTTGTCTTTGACAATCATTTTTCCAAAGTTTGCTCTTTGATATCTCATTCCCCTCATCTGCGATAATTCATTGAATTTGTTTCGAAATAAAGTCATTTCATTTTTCATCAACAGAGCCATCAGAATCTGCCAAAATAGGAGGAATCATTACGATGTTTTTAATAGCAGCTGTCTTCATAAGTGCCATAATAATACTGAAACGGGTTGGTTATATATGCTTAAGAAATGAGTTCCCCAAAGTTTTGGTATGTAGTTTTTTTTAAATTTCTATCTTTATTTTATAACTTAAGAATTTTTATTATATTCTTAAATATTTTCACAGAAGAAAAAAACATTTACTAAAAATACTAAGGTGGGGGCGCCTGGGTGGCTCAGTCAGTTAAGTGTCCAACTTCGGCTTAGGTCATGATCTCACGGTTCCTGAGTTCGAGCCCTGCGTTGGGCTCTGTGCTGACAGCTCAGGGTCTGGAGCCTGCTTCGGATTCTGGGTTTCCCTCTCTCTCGGCTCCTCTCCCACTCACACTCTGTCTGTCTCTCAAAAATAAATAAGCAGTTTAAAAAAAATTTTTTTTTAAAGGTAAAGAATTAATTTATAATGCCGGTACCAGCACGTAAGTGTGTACAATTCTCCAAAGCTCTGATGACATTGATTAGTCATTTTTACTACCTTTGTATATTTATCACGCGTGTGACGGTCACCCCTAGTGGCTCTCGTTTGTGTTGCTTTAATTATTAGTGAAACCAGACACTTTGCTGGTCCTCGTTTTTTCCCCTGTGCTTCCTAAGGCAGGTGCTTTTTGCCCAGACAGGCCTGGGTATTGATCTTACTTCTAAAACCTCATGTCTTTTGACTCAACTACTTTGGGTAGTTTGGGTACAAAAATCATTTGTCATTTCTCTCTCCCATCGCTGTCTTTCTGTATTCGTTTTATCAGTTTTCATTCAGAAGTATCTTCTTTTTCTCTAAACTCATTTCATCTTTTTCTTCTCATTTTTTAACCAGCCGCACATTTAGATACTCCTCTGCCCGTTGATAAAATTGTACTCTTCTTTTTCTTGGTGTTTTTCTTTGTCTTCGGGGGATTTTAATTACAGTTCGTATTTGAACCCAGCAGGCTTTTGGCCCTGCCTTAGATGACTCTGTGTTGGGTTTCATCCACACAGTGATCCTTGTCTTTCGAGAAATGGAGTTTTGATCCTTCACTGTAACGCATCTTTCAGTCTTTTATGGTAGCAGTCAGATGCGGCCTTATCTCGGCCTTAATCCACTGCTTCCTGTCTACCAAGTATTTATTCCTTTGGCCTTGAGTTCTTAGACAAACTCGACTCCAGTATGTCTCACTGTAGCCTGGAGATATAAAGGCCTTTATCACCACACCCACTCCCTCCTACATAGTTTCTCTGCCTGACTTACCTACACTGATTACTAATCCCTCCCCAGGTCTCACAGGCGTTCCTCCTGGCCCTAAAGACGCATGACCCCGAGTACTGAGAAGAAGTGATGTTATTTTGTGTCTTTGTAGTACTTCTCCATTAAAAATTGCTGCTCTGTGTTTAAATAAAAACTCTAGGAATGGCAACACAGAACACTCTAGGCCTTGTGTATTTGTGTGTATATGTGTTTAATCAAGAACAGATGTTAAAGTTTTCTTTTCTTTCTTTTCTTGTTCCTTTCTTTTTTTTTTTTTTGCATTTAACAAATATTTACTGAGTACCTATCATGTGTTTACATGTTCTAGGTGCTGGTAGGGAACAAAACAAACAAAAATGTCTGGGGAGTAAGGGTAGAGACAGTGATCATTTATAGAGGATGTGACTGGAAAAGTAAAAACTTCACATGAATCTAGAGATGGATCATTAGGATTAATAAGGTTAGCAAAGTTGTTACCTACAAAACAATCAATATGAAAAACGCTTGCATTTTTATATACTCGCAATACGTAGAAAATAAACAGGAAGCTGCTTTTCAACATCCAAGAAATTAAGTAAGTGTACAAGCCGTAGCGTAGAGCTCTGTGAAGTTTCACAAACTCAATGCACCCATGTAATTCATGCCTAAATCAAGAAAAAGAACATAACCAGCCCCCCCGGAAGTCCTTCTCCTGCCCCCTTCCGGTAACTAAGCCCCACCAAGGGTAACCACTATCCTGATTACTAACAGCATGGATTAGTTTTATCTGGTTTTGAACTTGAAATCATACAGTTCAGTAGAATCATACAGGTTTTTTTTTAATACCACTTTGATAGTAATAAAAATTTTCCAAAAAATTTTTTAATCTTCATTTATAATTTTTGAGAGAAAGAGTGTGAGCGTGGGAGGAGCAGAGAGAGAAGGAGACACAGAATTTGAAGCAGGCTCCAGGCTCTGCTTCAGAGCCGGACTCGGGGCTTGAACTCAAAAACCTGAGATCACGACCTGAGCCGAAGTCAGACGCTTAACCAACTGAGCCACCCGGGCGCCCCATAATAAAAAAATATTTTTAAAACATTAAAGAATAAGTCTAATATAGGATGTTATAGCTCATTTGTGGAGAAAACGTCTTATTGAAAGACATTAACAAAGATTTGGTCAAATAGGGAGCCCAGAAACAGACCCACACCTACAGGAATGTGATTAATGATGAGTAGATATTGCCATGGGGACAGGATTGGCTCGTCAATAAATGTATCTATATGGGAGAAAATGCAATTGGATCTCTACCTCACACCACACACAAATATCAGTTCCAGCTATATTAAAGACTGTCGTGTGAAAGGCACCATAGAAGATTCTATTTAACCTTGGGGTACGGAAGATTCTCTCAGACACAAAAAAGCAGAAACCATAAAGGAGCAACATCGATACCTTTTCTTACATTAAAATGAAGAAATTCTTTTCATCGAATGTCATCACAAAGAGAGTAAAATAATAAACCACAGGCTAGGGGAAAATATATGTAACATAAATAATCGAAAAAGAATTAGCATCCAGACAGGGGCGCCTGGGTGGCTTAGTCGGTTAAGCGTCCGACTTTCGCTTAGGTCATGATCTCACGGTTCGTGGGTTCGAGCCCCGCGTCGGGCTCTGTGCTGACTGCCAGCTCAGAGCCTGGAGCCTGTTTCAGTCTGTGACTCCCTCTCNCTGGAGCCTGTTTCAGTCTGTGACTCCCTCTCTCTCTGACCCTCCCCTGCTCACGCTGTCTCTCTCTCTCTCTCCTAGAAATAAATAAAAAAAAAAAAAAAAAAAAGAATTAGCATCCAGACTGTATAAAGAGCTCCTCTGAATCAATAAGAAAAAAAGATGAACAACCCAGTAGAAAAATTCTCCCCAAGCCTGGGTCGGGTAGAGTAGGGGAAGAGCGGGTTTGCCAAATTGGGCAGCCCGAGTAGGTGTAGAATAGAGAGGAAGATGATGTTGATGACGATTCCAGGTCTATGAAAGGAGCCTCTTGACCACCTCCTCGCCATTCGCCCCACTGTAGTTAACCTTGAGCTAGAACCCAGCAACAGGGCAAGACTCCGCCTGCCTAGTGTTCTCCACAGCTCCCTGCGCAGCTGTGTCTTGGTGGTGCCTTCTTCCAAGAGCTCGAATAGAGTGCACTCTGGTCTTGCCATTCTTCTAACCCTCCTGACGCTTTAAGGTCCTCCAGTCCAGGGGGCTGTGACCCGGATGCAATCGGCTCTCTAGAGTCTCTCCTCCCCCACAGTTCCCTGACACCCCTTAGGAACATCCTGGCAATCCAGAATCTAAATGGACAGATTCCCCTGAGAGGCCAGAAGCAGTGAGGGGAGCCCAATAGGAGGGAGTGGAAGCCGGAACACAGTCCCTGCTGTAGGCAGCCTTCGGCCACTCCCTGTTCATGCACCTTGGGCAAGCGTCTTAACCTCTCTGCCTCATCTTCTCATCTGTGAAATGGGGATAAGAACAGTAAGCCTGCCTCACCACATGGCCGCGAGGGTAAAATGAATGATAAGGCGAGTAGAGCACAAAGACCAGTGCCCAGCAGATAGGAAACCCTAGGAAACTTAGCTATTGTTGTGGTTGCCGTTGGACATCACCATGCTCATCCTCATCACTGAACACGTAATCTCATGGAGTTTTATTATGTCAAAAATAAAAGACAAACACTCAGAATTGATATTCTCTCTCTCTCTCTCTCTCTCTCTTTTAAGAATTTTCATAACCTGTCAGCCTGGGAATTTCTCCAGAAGCCACCCTTGGAAACAGTGGCTTTCGTGGAGGTGATTCACATTAACAGGAAGAAGAAAGTGTGGGATTATAATTACGACGATGAGAGCGACAGCAATGACGAAGCGGCCCGTCCAGCAAGCGGAGGTGGTTATACTATGCATGGACTGACAGGCAGGCTTCTGGGTCTGGCCTCCGCCTCCTCGGCCACCTTGGAAGACAGCACCAAGTCGGACGCCGAGGACCCTGATCAGTCCGAACCTGAGGCTGACACCACCGAGCCCCTGATGGCAGCTGTGCCCAGCCCCGGGTGGCCGGAATGCTGCTCAAGGGGGCCCTACGAGGGAGGAGGGAGGCTGCTGCAGGACCCCTTCACCGAGGATGACAGCAGCCCCACCGAGGAGCCTGGGGACAAAATTACCTTCAACGTAAATTTAAACTCTGTGTTTGTGAGGGTCCTCGATGAAGACTCAGAAGTCCCCCCGACGTTACCTCCTTTACTAGAAGAGACCGCCAACCTAGAGGATTCAGGTGAAACGGAAGTAAGCTTTCTGGCGGCCAGTGGGGAAGGGACACAGCCACCCTTCGCCAGCCCCTCTGCAGAGTGCCCGTGGCCTGAAGATGCCCTTTCTAACGAAAGTGACGGTTCCGAGTCAGATGCGGACATCGGGGATGGTTATATAATGAGATGAACCCAAGAATAGTTCATTAACGTGGACTGAGGATGAGTACTTCCAGAGTTCTCCCTCCGTGTACCATCCTCGGCCCCTTCTGGGCCAGCCCAGCCAGCTCTCTTAGAGGGAAGGTGCTGGAGACTGCAGTCGGCTTGGTGATCCCTGGTGACGTCATCCATGCGGATTCCCAGGATGGCCACATGGGACCCTCCTGTCCTCTGCAGTGTATTGTTTACATGTCCCAAGTGATGCACTTTGAAGGGAAAGAGCCCTGTCCGTTCCCTTCACCCTCCACATTTATAATGTTTCTGCATCCCGTCTCCCAGAGTAAGGAGCAGGGTCCCCTGCGGCTTTCCTGGGTGGTCCAGGACCCTGCAAGTTAATGGCATTAGCCAGGGTGGGAGCGGAGAGTGTAAAGGAAGACACTCAGCAAGGTTCATAGCAGCAACAGTCAGCAATGGTGAGTCCAGCAGGCTTAAGGAAGGGGCCGGCAGGAAGGGAAGGCCCCCAGAAGGAAAGAAAGGGGACCCACAAAGAAACAAGCACAGGTTCCAAGTCGGAAGTGGGGAAGGTAGAGCCTAGTCTTGGGCTCCTCCTTGATGTCGAATCCTGTCACCTACACTCAGAGAATTCAACTTGGCTGCTTGTCCAGCCCTCCTCAGTTTGAATGAGGAAGACAAATTCGGACACAGAAATAAGTCTATTGTCAGGCAGATGACTAATCGGAATCCTTTGCATGAGGGAGAGGGATAGAATCTCAGTGCCAAATTTTAAGGTTAAAGAAAAAAAAAGCGAGAGAACAAATGCAAAATTGTTACAAGGTCCTCAGAGGAAATAAGGTAGAAAATCCCTGGAGGTCTTAATTATCAATTTAAGAAGAGCTGCGTGTGCTGATTCCAGCTGTCCTATGTGTGACCACAATTCCTGTGGATGGGGGCGCTGGGGAGGAGGGGCAGGGGAAGGGGAGTTCTAGAATGTCATGTAGCAAACAGTACAAGAACTAGGACTCAGGGGCGCCTGGGTGGCTCAGTTGGTTAAGTGTCCGACTTCGGCTCAGGTCATGACGTCACGGTTCGTGGGTTCGAGTCCCACGTCAGGCTCTCTGTGCTGACAGCTCAGAGCCTGAAGCCTGTCTTTGGATTCTGTGTCTGCCTCTCTCGCTGACCCTCCCCTGCTCATGCTGTCTCTCAAAAATAAATAAAACATTAAAAAATTTTTTTAAAAAAGAACTAGGACTCAGAGGTCTGACTCTGCTGCTATTTCACTGTGTGACCACAGGTACTTTGCTTAGCCTCTCTGAGCCTCAGTTTCTTCATTTAGGAAATAAGGAGATTGGACTAGGTAATCTCCAAGATCTTGTGGTACTAGGAGAAATACTAGAAAATACACAGGAATTGGGGTGCCTGGGGTGGCTCAGATTGGACGTTGGACGTTGGACTTTGGCTCGGGTCATGATCCCGCCCACATTGGGCTCTGTGCTGACAACTCAGAGCCTAGAGCCTGCCTCGGATTCTGTGTCTCCCTTTCTCTCTCTGCCCTTCCCCTGTTCATTCTCATTCTCTCTCTCAAAAATAAATAAACACTAAAATAAAATTTAGAAAATACATAGGAATTGAAGACTCCGGTGAAGGGGCTGCAACCCTGAGTGGCCCCCAGGGCCAGTGAATCGTGCGAGATCTCCTATCTCACTCTGCTCACCCCAAGAGCAGGCTTCTCAGATCTGTTAGCTCCATTCAAAAGGGGGCAAGCAGTAATTATAAGTTCTAGTTCAAGGACTTTGAAAAGATTATTTTTATAACTGTTCAAAAGTAACTCAGAGGGGAGCCTGATCAGTTAAGCGCCTGACTCTTGATTTTGGCTCAGGTCATCATCTCCTGTTTTGGGGGATAGAGCCCGGTGTCCGGCTCCATTGCTGGCCAGGGAGCCTGCTTAGAATTCTCTCTCCCTCTCTCTCTGCCCCTCCCCTTCTTTCATGTGTTCTCTCTCTCTCTCTCTCAAAAACAAAAGTAACTCAAAGGAGAGGGATGTGAGAGGGGAAGGGGTTATTTAATAACCTAATGAAATAACATAGGAAAGGAACGTTATCATGGAAGGTATCCATTTCTCCACCCTCTTAAAGGATCTATCATGTTTTCAAAGACTTCCAGAGCGATCTTTGGGGATAAACTTTTTACAGCTGTGTTAACGTATGTGTGTGTGTCTCAATTTTGTATAATTGTCACAAGTTGGTGAAGGATAATAAATACTTTTTAATACAAACTTGGTAATACCTTCAGAGTTATTTCTCTTTAGAGGGGGTAAATACACAGCTGATTTGTGGCTCTGCTGGCATCTCTAGGGTTGCACCAAAGTTCCTCTATGTGTGGTGGCCTGTAGGGGCCACGGGAGCGTTCCAGCGGGACCCTGGTGGATCATTCCAGCGTCCCGCGTCAAGCAGTGCCTTACATCACCCAGTACTTTACCCTCCTCTGGATTTTCCAATCTCACCACTGCCCAAACCTTTAAAGAGGAAATTAAACCTCTCTCAGCAATCTTGCGAGAGAAACAAGTTTTTGCCCAATAAATAACTTGGTTCTGTGTAAAGTAGACCCTTTCAAACTGTCTGCTGGGGCGCCTGGGTGGCTCAATTGGTTGGGCATCTGACTTCAGCTCAGGTCATGACCTCACTGTTCCGTGGGTTTGAGACCCGCATGGGGCTCTGTGCTGACAGCCAGCGCAGAGCCTGGAGCCTGTTTCCCATTCTGTGTCTCCCTCTCTCTCTGACCCTCCCTTACTCATGCTGTCTCTCTCTCTCTCTCTCAGAAATAAATAAAACATTAAAAATTTTAGAAAAAAAAATGTCTTTGCTAACAGAGTGCTTTAAAATCAGCTTATTTGCAGGGAAAGGGGGCTCTAGAGAAACCTCGGAAGCAGTTTTCACTGGAGAAAACTTGGGGAATATGAATGGTGTCAAGAAAACCCACTACCATCCCTAACCCCAGATAGCACCAACCTCTAGGTGGGAGTTGTAAGCTACTTATCTAACTTGGAAAAGCACGCATTTAATGTCTGCGGGGTGTCCCCCCTAATCGAGGTACTGAACGTACTGTTTTGGAAGCATTTTACTACCCGTGTTTTCCGCCCACCCGTTGGGGCAAGCAAGGCCCCTTCCCTCCGCGTCTCACATGGCCAATCCCCCCCCGCCCCCCCCATCCAATACATCCCTGTGCCCCCGGCGCTTGGGTGAGCAGGGACCCGGCGGGGGGCGGAGACCTGGGCGGGGGCGGGGCCTAGGATGGCCCCGCCCCGCCAGTCCCCGGAAGCAGCCGCGGCCGGGCGGGGGAGGACTCGACTCGCGGGCGCTGCGGGGCGCTGGCCCGGCGGCTGCCGCGGGCCCCCCCTCGGACGCCCTCCCGGCTCCCGGCGCGGCCATGGCGCGGGGCCTGCGGAGCTGGCTGGGCGGCTGCCTCCTGGTGTCAGGTGAGGGGTCCGCGGGGAGGGGGCGCCGGGCGGTCTCCGGGGCGCGGGCTGGTCCTCCGGGGCTACGGGCCGCCGCGCGTCCGACGCGCGCTGGGGAACCTGAGGCCGGGCTACACCGCGGGCAGCGGCGGCCCCGGGGCCAACCCTGAGCGGACCCCGTAGGCTCCCTGGAAGTGACCGAGTGCCCGGTGCGGACGCCAGGGCCTCCCATTCAGTCCTCAGCACCCCCCGCACCTGAGCTCTCCCCCTCACCTCCACAGCTGTGTGGCTTCTGAGTTTTGAATCCACCGAAACCTCGTCTGCCCTCCTGTACATTTCTTGCCCGGGTTGAGACAACTATGGACGCCTCCTTCCTTTCTGATGAACTCATCGCCGGCCTTCCTGGAAACCCCACTCTCCCGGTTCTCCTCCTACCTCTCAGGCTGTTTCCAACCTAGGATCCTCCACCTCTGCCGGATCCCTGTATGGTCGAGTTCTTAGCCAGCCCTTCCACCCCCCTGCCCCACACTGTCCCGGTCGGGGATACCAGCAGAAGCCTGGCATTCGGTACCAGCTACGTGCCTGTGATGCAAACGCGTTGGCACCAGAAGTGTGATGGGCCGTCGGTGGTTTATCATACCTTTCCCTCTGCTTTTGTGTATGTTTAATAGTTTGCATTAAAAGTTTAAAAATGGCTTCTTTATTTTTTTTGAGGGGTAGGGTGGAGAGGGGCAGAGCAAGAGAGAGGGAGAGAATCTTAAGTAGGCTCCACCCGCAGTGCGGACCCCAATCCCACGACCCAGGGATCATGATCAAGGGTGGCCTCTCAGCCGGCTGAGCCACCCAGGCACCCCTAGAAATGATTTCTGTCTCTAGCCCAGATCTCTCCACTGTGCCCCAGACTGCTTCCTCCTGGTGGCCATCCCTGCTTGAATGTATCCAGCATCTCAAACCTAAGGCAGCTAAATTGGGACTCTTGATGTCCTTGCTCTCCAGCCCCATTTAGGGCATCAGGTGCTTAAGCCAAGAATGAATATTAATGTCTCCACACCAAATGCATCAGAAAGTCTCCAGTGTGTACCTCTGGAAATATATCTGAATCCCACCACCCAATCCAAAAGCCCCTTTTCACTCTCACTCTCTGCCCCACTTCCCACCACCACCACCACCACCGCCCTCAACTTCCCAGATAAAATCCAGACTCTCCAGCACAGCTAACAGTGTGTCTCTTCTTCCCTCACCTGTGAGCCCCTTGGAAGACGTGGAGCTATAAGGCAGACCTGAGTGTTGGAGTATGGTCATTTACTTGTGCAACTCTTTGGAGGAACAAAGCTGCAAACATTTTCCTTTTATTTTTACAGCCTTAGGAATGGTGCCACCTCCTGAAAACGTCCGAATGAAGTCAGTGAATTTCAAGAACGTTCTACAGTGGGAGGTGCCTGCTTTTCCCAAAGGGAATCTGACTTTCACAGCTCAGTACCAAAGGTGAGTCTAGGATGTTCTTGGGCAGGAAGGCCCTGAGCTGCTCACCGGTCCCGACCGCTGGAGAGAGTCTTACTGCTGTCACTGGCGACCATGACCTCCCACAGGGAGCCTCCCGGCTGCCCTTCTTTCTGTCCGGGAAATTCTTTTTTTTTTTTTTTTTAATGTTTTATTTATTTCTAGGAGAGAGAGAGAGACAGCGTGAGCAGGGGAGGATCAGAGAGAGAGGGAGTCACAGTCTCTGAAACAGGCTCCAGGCTCTTGAGCTGGCAGTCAGCACAGAGCCCGACACAGGGCTCGAACCCACGAACCGTGAGATCATGACCTAAGCGAAAGTCGGACGCTTAACCGACTAAGCCACCCAGGCGCCCCATCTGTCCGGGAAATTCTTAGTGAAAGTTCTGTTCTCTGAAAAAGGACAAGTAAAGTCTTTTTTACTTTTTCTTGTCATGTTGATCCATAGCTTGACAATCGCAGGGCCACGGGGAGATGCCAACCTTCTATCATGTGGCTTTGGATGTCACTGGCCATAGTGCCACCTGTTGCAATGCAAATATGTCAGGTTTGTCACGATTGATGTTTTTTGAGAGAAAAATGTCACTGATAGCATCTCCAGTTATTAGAGTAGTATTGCTAAAAGTCAACAATTTGCAAGCAAAGCCCCCCAGGAAAAGTGAGGTACGCAGAACAGGAAGGCCCCGGCCATCTTACCGCCCAACCCCCCCAACAGATTATATCAGAACCCCCCAGTGCTAGGGGGTGCAGATAATTTGCGTAGTGCGTGCTCAGTTACTCTGTGGCCGTGTCCCAAAATCGAAGGTAAGCCAGCTACTGGCCATTAAAAGCTCTGGCCTCGGGGGTGCCTGGGTGGCTGAGTCGGTTGAGCGTCCGACTTTCGCTGAAATCATGATCTCGCTGTTCGTGGGTTCGAGCCCTGCGTCGAGCTCTGTGCTGACTGCCAGCTCAGAGCCTGGAGCCTATTTCAGAGTCTGTATCTCCCTCTCTCTCTGACCCTTCCCTGCTCACGCTATCTCTCTCTCTCTCTCCTAGAAATAAATAAAAATATTAAAAAAAAAAAAAAAAAGCTCTGGCCTTGGAAACAGCACCGAGGGTTACGGAGAAAGGGTGGGTGTCACCAAGGCAATTATCTCGGTGGCGCTCTGACTTCCCAACACCTGCCCAGCCAGCCCTCCCTCGGCAGCCCGCCTTCACGCACCGCACTGCAGGGCGGACCACAAGTGACGCACCTTTTAAGTCAAGTGCAAACAACAGCGGGAGGCCAAAGGGTGATGAGCCGACACACCTGTCTCCAGTGTGACTCAGAATCTTACGGAGATAGACCATACCTTGCATAAAGCAGGAGGGGACACGGGTCCCAGATCCCATTAATCCCACACTTCTCATCCGGCTCTGGTTTGCAGACATACCCCAGGCCTGTCAGGCCAGAGAAGTAGGGAGATAAATAAAATAGTCTTTATTTGTTTGGTAGCTTTTTAATTCCAAGTAATTCTCGGCTAACAGAACTTTTTTTTTTTTTTTAATTTATTTCTGAGAGAGAGAGAGAGCATGAGCAGGGGAGGGTCAGAGAGAGAGAGGGAGACACAGAATCCAAAACAGGCTCCAGGCTCTGAGCTGGCTGTCAGCACAGAGCCCGACGCAGGGCTCGAACCCACAAACTGTGAGATCATGACCTGAGCCGAAGTCGGCTGCTTAACCGACTGAACCACCCAGGCGCCCCTAACAGAACATTTTAAGATTTCAAGTTCAATAACAAAAGACTTCCAAATAGCTTACATCCAGATTCACCGTTTAAGGCTCTCCTTCCTTGAAGATTTCCCCCCCACCCCCACCCCCGTCCTACATCATGCCCTTTTGCCCCTTAATCTTTCACTCTGAACTTCCTGAGAGCAAAGATAATCCTTGACATCACCGCGGTACTGCCGTCAAGGTCGGCAGCTGTACTGCTGGTACGGCACTTTCCTCTGACCTCCAGTCCGTACGTAGTTCAGCTGTGTCCGTTTTCTCAGGGATTTAGGAAGGGTCATTCTGTGACTCCTTTTTCCCTGCTGGGTATTGTCTCCCACTGATTGGTGTGATAATTTCATGTCTGTTCTGTAGTCATGACGGCTCTAGAGATTTCACTGTGGAAAATCAACCTCCCTCTCCCCTCGCGTTTATTCTTTGGCATTCCATTCTGTGTCTTTGTGATAGAGGTGTTTGGTTTAGATGTTTCTCTTTTAGGTGCGAGTTCCCAGTGGCTTCCCAGTAACCAGGGGTCAGTCCCTGGGTTCCACGTGTCCATAGCATGGAAGTGTAGACTGAGCATGGGATGTGCTGAGGAAGACACAACAGGTGCTGGGGGTGCCCTTGGGAAGAGATTTGATCCTGAAAAATCTGATTACTGTTGCGTGGCTTGTGAAAGGCGTGTCTGAACATAACCTGAGAGGTTAGATAGCACAGACTCTCTTAATATGTGTGCACTGGGTGGGGGGGTGACCAGAGGAGAGGCGCTTTCAGAGGATGTGTTGGTGATTCAAATATGGAATCATCTTTGAAAACTAGATGTAATTATGGGGAATGGGTCATATTACCTATTTAACAGGAAGAAAATTTTTTTTTTTTTTACTTTTTTAATGCTTATTTATTTTGAGGGAGAGAAAGAGAGAGTACAGGTAGGGGAGGGGCAGAGGGAGAGAGGGAGACACAGAATCTGAAGAAGGCTCCAGGCTCTGAGATGTCAGCACAGAGCCTGACGTGGGGCTTGAACTCGCGAACTGTGAGAGAGTGACCTGAGCCGAAGTCGGACGCTTAACCAACTGAGCCACCCAGGTGTCCCAGAAAAGTATCTTTAACTGCAATAAAATGGCCTGTGAAGAAGAAAATTGTTACGGAACAACTTTTGAAATACCTCGTGTTCCAGCCAGTTGATGCATTAGTTTATTTTTTCAATATTTTTAAAAGTTTATATATTTATTTTGAGGGGGTGGGGAGAGATAGCATGAAGAAAGGAAAGGCAGAGAGAGAGAGGGAGAGAAGGAGAATCTGAAGGGGTCTCCAAGCTGTCAGTGCGGAGCCCGATGTAGGGCTCCAGCTCATAGACCGTGAGATCGTGACCTGAGCTGAAATCAGGAGTCAGATGCTTAACTGATTGAGCCAGCCAGGCGTCCCGATGCATTAGTTTAAGTGAAGGAAGTGGCCACATGTGAGAAAGGCCCCTTAATGCAGTGACCCTGGGAGTTTCCAAATGGTGGGATGTCGATTAACAAAAGGTTTGTGGTATATTAAGTGAAAAGAGCAGATTGTAGGATAGTACGATCCCAATGATCCCTACCTACTTTTAGCAAGAAATTGTTCTGGGCATCGCCAAGAATATGGCGAGGTGTGGTGTGGTGCCTAAGACTGTGAGCTCTGAAGTCAAACAGATCTGAGTTCCATGGGGTGAGTTTCTTAGGTCCTCCATCCCGTGCCTCATCTATAAAATAAGAGAGGGGCACCTGGTGGCTCAGTCAGTTAAGCGTTCGAGTTAGGCTCAAGGTGTGATCTCGCAGTTCATGAGTTCGAACCCTGCGTCGGGCTCTGTGCTGATGGCTTGGGGCCTGGAGCCTGCCGTGGATTGACAAGTGGGCTGTTATTATTTCTTATCATCATCAACCATCATTGTCACCTCCAAGGACAGCCAGATTGGCTTTGAGACCAAGACTGAGGGAGGCCCACTGGTCCACTGGGAAACTAGTCAGACTGGTTCAAATCCTCACTTTTTGCAAGCCAGGAGCCTGGGTTTCCTTGGGTCAGGTGAAGCTGATTCAACCTGCTCAGGCTGTTGTGAGGTCAAGTTACACACACCTGGTCACTTTTCCCAGACGTTGTTTTCCGTCTTGACTTCACGTTTCTGCCACCCTCCCTTCAGTGATGGGTGCTGGGGCTCGAGCTCTGTTTTAAACAAATTATTTAAGACACATCTATATAGGGGCACCTGGGTGGCTTAGTCGGTTAAGCGTCCGACTTTCGCTTAGGTCGTGATCTCGCGGTTCGTGGGTTCGAGCCCCGCGTCCGGCTCTGTGCTGACTGCCAGCTCAGAGCCTGGAGGCTGTTTCAGTCTTTGTCTCCCTCTCTCTCTGACCCTCCCCTGCTCACGCTGTCTCTCTCTCTCTCTCCTAGAAATAAATAAAAATATTAAAAAAAAAACACATCTATATAAAAATGAACTGTTTTATAGTTTTTCCAGAGTATTCGCAACCATTAGTCATTTATAGGACATTGTTTGAAATTGCTGTAATATACTTATCCTGGCCACTCTGTGTATATCAGTATTCACAAACTGTCCTACATAATCAAGGAGGGAAGCTTTCTTGATCAAACGTATTGAACACTCAACCTAGTTTGGAGAGGCACGTGCTCATTAAGATATGAAGGTCACTGAGAAGTTGTGTTCTGAAGACAAACGTCTCTTTACGTTTAACCCAGTTTCTGCCCCAGATTGTTTGATTATGAGACAGATTATTTTTGAAACAACTTATGATATCTCAAGGATCACACAAGTCCCATGCAGTACAGTTTGGGAAACACTCGCATAAATGTTGCATCAAGACGGATGATTCAGAATTTGGTTTATTTTTCTCACAATATCTTCCAGTATCCTTTGGTAGCGGGGATTAATAAACTACCAGGCAGCCTCAGAGAGACCGGAGTGAGAACTTTCATGATTTTCTGATTTTACAGTTATAAGAAATTCCAAGATATGTGCATAAGTACTGCCTTGACGGAATGTGATTTCTCAAATCTTTCCAAGTATGGCGATCACACGTTGAGAGTCAGGGCTGAGTTTGCAGATGAGCACTCCGACTGGGTGAACATCACCTTCTGTCCTGTGGATGACAGTAAGTCACTTTGTTTTCCATTTCGTTATAATGCCGTCATCAGGCCCTGGGGTTTCTTTTTTTTTTTTTTTCCCCGTGGGGTAGCTCACCGGCAAGGATTCTTTGAGCTCCCACAAAGTGCGTGGCCTTGCACAGGGAGCTTCGGGAATATCAGAAGGGCTATGGTTGTAAAGAGGTTTGTGAGAGAGACAGGAAGGGCTAGTCACAAACTTAATACGATAATTAAATATAAATCTAAGAACGTGAAGGCTTGTGGGTAAAGAAGGAGTTGAGGCCAGTGTTGTTAAGGAGAAGAACTGGAAGGATGGATGTAGTAAATTTTCTGGGAGGAGGTCAGTCCGGAGTTCGGGTGTAAGGAAATGTGACGTGACCGGCAGAAGAATAAAGGTTATTCAAGGCAGGTGTGGAGACAGGCTGACCAGATGCAGACAGCCGGCTTGCCCGGAGTGAAGGACAGAGCAACGGATTCGGTGAATGTCTGGTACGCTGAGTCAGGCTGGCTGGTAAGCATCATAAAGAATGTTCCCAGGTTAGATGTGGGGGGTCGTGGGGACTCACCAGAGGTCACGAGATGAAGAATTGGAACATCAGGAACTGAAAACTAATTAAACCACCTTACAGCAATTGAGAGAGTAAGAGGGTAAGGGGTGACAGGCACCGTCACTAATGAGACTCAAGTTCAGTCTTCCAGGGAGTAGCTGGAGAGAAAGCATTAGAAGGATTGTCTCCATGCGGGGCGGGGTCTTGATTCTGCTCCCCGCTCTGGGCCCCCGGGGCTCCCACAACTTCACCCTCCCTGGTGAAGAATGCAGCTAGGATACCCTTCCGCTCTTCCCCGGTTCTGTCCCACGCTTGCACCACAGAACTCTTTGGTTCTGGAGTCAGAACTTATCAAAGTTACATTATCTCTTCTAAAGGCCATCCTTATAAAAGTTGTGAAAAATAAACATTAAGAAATACAAGCAGCTTGGGGCGCCTGGGTGGCTCGGTCGGTTAAGTGGCCACCTCTTGATTTCAGCTCAGGTCATGATCTCGCGGTCTGTGAGACTGAGCCCCGAATTGGGCTCGTGCTGACAGCATGGAGCCCTGCTTGGGATTCTCTCTCTCCCTTCTCAGTCTCTTCCTTACTCATCTCTCTCTCTCTCTCTCTCTCTCTCAAAATAAATAAATAAACTTGAAAAAAAATAACAAGCAGCTTAAGAGTAGTCATGTTTTCAAAATATAGTATAGGCTTCTGCTCCTATAATTACTATGTGACTGACCGGGTCCTGACTGGTTCCACTTCCTATTTGGGGACCCATCTGTGGAAATTCCCTTCAGAAACAGACACACAGTAGCTGAGCAGCTTGCCCAAAGGTCATGCAAGTAAGGAGTGGCCCAGCAAGGATTGAGCACCAGGCTGCTAGGTCCATGCTCTTAGCAACAACTGCCCTGCTCTGGGTATTTGCCTCTTGAAGTTTATATGACAGGAAGGTGCTGTACGATGTCACATCGAATCCATTTATACATTTTGCTTTGAAAAAAAAAATCTAATAAATGTTCTTATCTGGTTTTCAGCTACCAGCAGATTAAAAACAAGAGTATAATGCTGGAAGCAGGCCCACTAACAGCCTCAAAAGAAGTAAGAGCAGCCAGAGAAAAATACAGGATGTGACTCAAATAGCACAGTCACTCAGAGACATTTATGACTCATTGTACAGTTGGTTTTGGGCACCTACTAGGTGTCAGGCACATTCTTAGTGCAGAAGCTATAACAGTTAACAAGACAAAATCCCTGCCCTCGCGGAGCATACACTCTAATGAGGGAAGACAGATAATAAATAGATACATATTTTATAACAGATCTGAATGTGGCTCTCAAGAAAATAAAGCAAGGCACTGGGGCAGAATGAGTTGGGAGCTGCTAGTTACGTAGGGTGGTAAAAGATAGTCTCTCTGAGGCGGTGACATTTGAACCAAGACCCAAAGGAAGTGCAGGGACTGGCCACGTGAATGTTCAGTAAAAGAGTATTTAGGCAAGAACAGCTCAGACTTTGTTGGAAAATGTATATGATCAATTATGTATGTTAGGCACTAAAAATAGTAGCCTTCAGCCCAGCAAAGGAAATAAAGAAAATTCAACCCATCAGAAAGAAAAAAAGAGGAGAGGAACAAACAATGACAGAAAGTCTTTACAGAAAACGATATAGTTGGGATAGTTACAAATCTATCAGAAATCTCAATAAACATAAATGGACTAAACTTGGTTTAATAAAACAAAAGGCTATCAGATTTTTTTAAGAAACAAACTCCAACTGCCCTCCTTGGGCACTCCAGTCAATGTCACAGCAATCTTACATCCAAGAGCAGAGTCCTTCAGTCGACCATTGGTCTGCACGGCTATGAAAAATAGATGTTTACATTTTTATTTTTTTTTTAACGTTTATTTATTTTTGAGAGAGACAGAGCATGAGCAGGGGAGGGAGGGGCAGAGAGAGATGGAAACACAGAACCCGAAGAAGGCTCTAGGCTGTGAGCTGTGAGCACAGAGCCCGATGCAGGGCTTGAACTCACGAAGCGTGAGATCATGACCTGAGCTGAAGTCAAAGGCTTAACCGACTAAGCCACCCAGGTACCCCAGTGTTTACGTTTTTAAATGTGATTTTTGACTGTCATTTTGCTTTGTTCTCTTACCTAGCCATGATTGGACCACCTGGAATGCAAGTAGAAGCACTTGCCAATTCTTTACATATGCGTTTCTTAGCCCCCAAAATTGAGAATGAACCTGAAACATGGACCATGAGGAATATTTATAACTCATGGGCTTATAATGTGCAGTATTGGAAAAATGGCTCTGATGAAAAGGTAAGCTCAGCAAATCATATGCATTTCAGATGTAGGCTCCCCTCTTTGCCTAGTGTTAGTCTAAGGCCATGACTATGGAGAAAGGGGACTAGGAGGCCCTTCGGTCCAGGTCTTGCAAAGTGGTAGCACCTTATGGTCCAGAGGGTTTAAAGCCAGGTCCTCTGAATGCCAGAAGCTTCCCAGTCTGAAGGATGCCTAGAATCTGCTCATGCCTCTCAGGCCCCAAGGGAAATGTGTGACGCTGCCGGGTCCTAGCACCGTGAGAGCAAGCCTTCTCTCCCTGAAGGGAAGTTGCAGGAAAAGATAGGTAGAGCTGACTCCGCAGTCACCTGGCACAATCTGGGGTCAGCTGAGTCAGGTGACATGCTGCATAACTGCTGTTCCATGGTATGAACCCCTGTGTTCCATGTACACCACAGAGCAGTCAAGTGCGTGGTCATGGCAGCTGCACCCCTGGATGCTGGATGAAGAGTGTCACATTTTATCCATCCGACCCCACTTTTCCCCGTCACTCTCCTCCTCTCCAGGGGATGGTTCCTTTAAAAACATGAGCTAGGATGGGGCACCTGGGGGGCTCAGTCAGTTAAACGTCCAACTTCAGCTCAGGTCATGATCTCATAGTTTGTGGGTTCGAGCCCTACATTGGGCTCTGTGCTGACAGCTCAGATCAGAGCCTGGAGCCTGCTTTGGATTCTGTGTCTCCTCCTCTCTCTCTCTGCCCCACCCCTGTTTGTGTGCTCTCTCTCTCTCAAAATTAAAATAAACATTAAAAAAAAATGAGCTAGGAGTTTGACCTCATTGGATATTGCTCCTGCCATTGTGACTCCAGTCACATTCTGTACCTCAGCTCCTTCGTGTCTGTCTGCAGAATGGGCATGATAATCCACGTCATTAATACAGTGGGACTAATAACCTCCTTCACAGGACTCGGGGGAGTTTAATGACATGATGAAAAATAAACTTGTCCCATTACCTGAACAATGTATATGATCGATACATAGTGTTCCCTTCCCCTTCAGTCGACCTGTTAAGGCTATTTTCATGCATCCTTGGTCAGGTTTTATCCTTGTACTTAGTGCTTCCAAGCTGAATGCCATCTGTGGTTCTAAACTGACTTACGTTTATGTCATATAAGTTATGTTACGGGTATATTATCTCCTCTATACTAAATGTTGCTTCTATCACTTAACTCTCAAGGGTTTAGGAGGAAAGAATCACCTATGTGTATTGTTTTAGGAATTGTGTAATTAAATTTATAGGTACATACTGCTCAGTTCCCCAAGATCTCAAGTTAATTTTCCCCCCAAAAAGTGCTCCATTAAATGATGCAGGATATTAGCCTTCTTCGCAGAATAGATGATTTTGCTTATAGTCAAGACCCCAAGAAATGTGTGCCTAGAAAGCAATACAGAATAATAAGGGGTATTTTTTTAAGGTTATTTATTTTGAGAGAGAAAGAAGAAAAAAAAAAAAAAGAAGCATACACAAACAAGGGAGCAGCAGAGAGAGAGAGAGAGAGAGAGAGAGAGAGAGAGAGAGAGAATCCCAAGCAGGCTCCGTGCTATCAGCACAGAGCCCAGTGTAGGGCTCGATCCTACCAACTGGGAGATCACATCCTGAGCCAAAACCAAGATTTGGGCGCTTAACCGAGGGAACCACCCAAGCCCCTCCGGAATAATGAGTTTTATAGAGTTTTATAGCCGCTCATCAAGTGCCAGTGTGTCTGTTAGGCTCTGGGATGCAAAGATAATACAGGACTTAGCACATGTTTATCAAGGATCAATTTCCACAGCTGTTGTGCCTGAGTGCCGCCCACACCAAGCATGAAATGCAACACCCTGTTTGTCTTTAGCTTCTTATCCAGGATGTGCCCGCAGAATAGGCATCTGGTTGCACATTTGTCTTGTCATTTCTGCCTAGTGCGTGGAAGCCTTTGGTGTGACATGCCCAGTGTCAGAGAGGCCGCCTGCTCCCCACTTCCTCCCTCACTGGTGTCTGCCATGTCGCCATTACTGGTTTATACAGGCTGTAGACTCAGTGTTTGTGTCCCCCACCAGACTCCTGGGTTGAAACCTAACCCCCAAAGTGAAGGCATTAGGAGGCAGAGTCTTTAGGAGGCATGGGACTCACGCCCTTGTAAAAGAGACCTCGGAGAGCTCCCCCCCTCCCCACCCCCTCCCCCACTGAAATGTGAGACTCAGCGTGCAGGTGGCTGGCCGTGAATCGGGAAGCAGCCCTACCCAGACACCAGACCTGGGACTCCTCAGCCTCGAGAACTGTGAGAAATAAGTGTTTCTTGTTTATAAGTCACCTGTCCTGTTACAGCAGCCTGCAAGGAATAAGACAATATGGTTCCCTTCTAGAACGCAGTGTTAGAAGGCACCACGTTAGATCCCCAAACTAATCGCATGAAAGGCTTCGGGAAATTCTATTTTTTCCTGGAGAGAGCGGGCAGATAACATGCGAAGTTGCCCAGGTGTGAAAGACAACTGGAAAAAGCGGGCAGAGGGGACTTGAGCAGGCCCCTCCCAGTCTGCCCTTCCCTGCCTGCTGCTGTGAGTCAGCCCCGAGTTTAGTCTTTGAAAAAAATAGCACTGTAAGGTTTTAGGGGTACGGGATTTCTAGAAATGAAAACCGGGGTTTTTTCCTTAAATTTTTAATTATTGGAAGTTACACCGTATTCTTCGTGTCGTCAGTGGTATAATCCGGTTCTTGTCCTCAATGAGCTTAGCTTTCTCGTACAATAAAGGAATAGAGACAGGTTTTCGACAAACCCAACCGTAACAGAAAAATAACCAGTCACTAAAGTAAAAGACGAGCCTGTGCTCACTTTCTGTTGAAGTTCCTATTCGTGTAACACATTTTAAGTAGGACCCTTCTATCCAGAAATGATAACCGTGATGGAAACGTGGGGGCGGGGGGGGGCAGGTGCTCTTTCTGTTTCCTCTATTTTGCCGGAAACTGACTTGGTTTCCCAAATTCAGGAATATATCAATTATGATATTTTTTATTCAAACTAGGCTGGGCCGGGGGTGTCCCACCAGAGGCAGGCTGTGACGTGTGCCCTGCTGGGGAGGAAGGCGCCACTGGACGAGAGCAGCCCAGGGGCTCAGGTAGAGAAGCGAGCCCAAGGAGAATGTGGGCAGCCAGGGTCCGAAATCTGCTCTTGACTTAGAAGGAAAACCACATGGAGTCTTCCTGTAAATGACGGGTGTCATCCATCCTGGGACCGACGTACCACAGATTAAACAGGAAGCTGTTGTCTCAAGGTTCTGGAGGCCAGACATCTGAGGTCAAGGTGTCGGCAGTGGTAGACTGAGGGCACGGAGGTAGAATCTGTTCCGTGCCACTCTCCCAGCTTCCGGATTGCTGGCTAGCTTCGGGTCCTTCTCCTGTAGAAGTAGCAACCCATCCTTACGTGACATGTGCACATCCTTGTCCAAATTTCCTCTCGTTATAAGGACGCTGGTCATATTGGATTAGGGCCCATCCTAATGAGCGCTTTTTAACTGAATTACCTCTGGAAAGACCCTGTCTCCAACTAAGTCACTTTCCAAGGTACTAAAGCTTAGCACTTCAGCACATGAATGTGTGGGTTACACGCATTCAGCCCATACAGCTTAATTCTTTTTTAAAAAGGAGTCGGATGGTTTAGGTGGCATTTAAACTAGAGAACTCAGGAATGAAGTGGTTCATCAGGAATCAGCACCGCAGTCAATGCTTTCCCCATGCCTTAACAATGCTCTCGGGTCCCTGACGTGAACTGGGAGGAACACCTGCTTCCTTCATCTTCTTGTTCTGAGCCCAAAGTAAAGATCAGAACTGGTAAATAGGGGAGGAAAAAAAGCTGGCGTCCTTTCACTACGAAGACATGGTTTTTTTTATTTTTGTCTTCATTCCTAGTGGCTGATGACTTGTCAATATGACTTTGAGGTCCTCCGAGATCTTGAGCCATGGACAACTTACTGTGTTCAAGTTCGAGGGTTTCTTCCGGATCGGAACAAAACTGGGGAATGGAGCGAGCCCGTCTGTGAGCCAACGACCAATGACGGTGAGTCTTGAGAATCACCATCTGTAAATCTGCCTCCTCTGAGCCTCTGAAATAGCTTTACAGACGCCCCCCGAGCGTTAGCATTGGAAAGTTCCTTAGACAGGAAGGCGTCCACCTCAAACTGCAACCCAGGTCAGCCCTGCCTGATCGGCTTCCTGCTGGGGGGAGACCACCACCTTCTGAGGCAGCTCGTTCTCTCTTAGACCGAAGGGATGGATGCACACTGGGCTCTGCCCCTTGGTGCCCACCAGCACCGTGTCCATCCTGTGCCCTCAGGCCTCCTGCTGCGAGTCTCATCAGCCCCCCAAGACCACCCAAGGTCAAGCCTGACCCCCCAGGTGCCCTCCCTTCCCAGGCTGTGCGCCTCCAGTCCCTTCAGACACATGAGGGGGAATTTGGAGACTTTTATCACTGTCTCTGGCAAGGGCTACTTGTCTTGGCTACCAGGATGTCAACACAGCCCCTCACAGTGCCTCCAAGCTCCCTGTTTATTAAAAAAAAAGAGAGAGAGAGAGAGAGATTGGGAAAGAGGAAGAGAAGGAGAGGAGAGAGTCCCATGGGCCTGGACTTTGTGATCATTCATATGCAGACACATTGCATTCGGGGTCATGCATATCTGCACCAAACGGCAGCCCTTTTTATTATTCAAAGACATCGAGGAGAAGCTCAGCCTGCTCAGATCACAGAAGGATGAATGAATACAGGCAGGTCCACTCCTGGCCGTTTTCATTTACTGAGGCCCTCCTGGAAGCGAGACACTGGTCTGAGGGCTACAGAAATCCAAAGGAGAGTCGGAAAGAGTTCCCTGCAATGCGACCATCTCATTGATTCATCATCTCTGCTCATCCAGTTCCTGAGCGTTGCTTTTTGTCACTGAGCATATTTCTCGCCCAATTTTGCCTTGTCTCCTCTAATTTGCCAGAAAGAACTTCTTTACCCACGTGTTGCTCGCACTGTTGGTGGACCCGGGATACACCTTCCATGAAACCGCTTAACTGCTTGCTTGCTGATCACTGAGCTGTTGGGAAAGAGCGGTCTATTCTATAAGCTGCTTTGGGTTTTTTGTTTTGTTTTGTTTTTATATTTTTATTTATTTCTAGGAGAAAGAGAGAGACAGCGTGAGCAGGGGAGGGTCAGAGAGAGAGGGAGGCACAGACTCCGAAATAGGCTCCAGGCTCTGAGCTGGCAGTCAGCACAGAGCCCGACGTGGGGCTCGAACCCACGAACCGCGAGATCATGACCTAAGCGAAAGTCGGACGCTTAACCGACTAAGCCACCCAGGCGCCCCCCCCTTTTTTTTTTGTCCATGAGGTCATTGTGATAAACTGGTAAATAACCAGCTGAAACGGACCCCCAGGCCTCACGGCCGAGCTGCCTCAACTGTGTTCTAGGACTATTAGTGGGTGTTTCTCAGAACAAGAGCCCTGTAATCAGGTGTGCTTAGAAGCGATGGGGCGCTGCCTTGCCCTCTCAGAAAAGTCACCCCTGTCTATTAGGACTTTTAGCATATTTGACCTTTCACCACCTTTTTTTTTTTTTGAGGATTAGCATTCCAAGGAACAGAGCCTGGGAAAAACTAGCCCATCATATGCCGTACTTTTCCAACAAATCACCCTGCCCAAAAAAGGAAAGGCCATTTTGAGCTAATTGCTTCTTGGTGCCCTAATGTTGTTTTCAGTTATCATCCTTATCCTTTTTAAGTGTTTGGTAATTAACCACTTAATTTCCCATTCCGGAATGCTTGTTACTTTTTTCTGGAGATCCGGCATCAAGCCTGCTGGCCTATAGTTTCTTGAATCTTATTATTGTTGTTGTTCTCTTTGTTTTGTAAATGCACAAATTGTTTGCCTGGATTCAGAATTCTTTTTTTTTTTTTTAAATGTTTTATTTATTTCTAGGAGAGAGAGAGAGAGACAGCGTGAGCAGGGGAGGGTCAGAGAGAGAGGGAGTCACAGACCGAAACAGGCTCCAGGCTCTGAGCTGGCAGTCAGCACAGAGCCCGACGCGGGGCTCGAACCCATGAACCACGAGATCATGACCTAAGTGAAAGTCGGACGCTTAACCGACTAGGCCACCCAGGCGCCCCTGGATTCAGAATTCTTTAAAAAAATTTTTTTAACGTTTATTTATTTTTTAATGTTTTCTTTATTTCTGAGAGAGAGGGAGATACAGCATGAGCAGGGGAGGGTCAGAGAGAGAGGGAGACACAGAATCTGAAACAGGCTCCAGGCTCTGAGCTGGCAGTCAGCACAGAGCCCGACACGGGGCTTGAGCCCAAAAACTGTGAAATCATGACCTGAGCTGAAGTCGGATGCTTAACCGGCTGAGCCGCCCAGGCGCCCCAACATTTGTTTGTTTTTGAGAGACACAGAGCGTGCGCACAAGTGAGGAAGGGTAGGAAAGAGGGAGACAGAGAATCTGAAGCAGGCTCCGAGCTGTGAGCACTGAGCCCGATGTGGGGCTCGAACTCACGAACCATGAGATCATGACCTGAACCAAAATCAAGAGTTGGCTGCTCAACCGACTGAGCCACCCAGGTGCCCCCTGCCTGAATCCAAGATTCTTTCACATCTTCCAGGTACATGATCTTTGCGTTGTCATCCAAAAGTCTTCTGTGATTGTGTTAGCAAGTTTTCTCAGGGCTGCAGAGCCACAGAGAGAATGAAAGTCTTGCTGTCTCCCTGGAGGGCATTCTCTGCCACTCTCGTTTTCTCTAGCCCCCAGTCCAGTGCCTCGCATCTGTAGGCCCAAGGTCAATGCCCAAGTCCACCTGGCTGTGTCCCTGCTTCCATGGTCTGAGCTGGCTGAGCCTCTCCTCAGTGCCTTTCAATAATAAAAGCCTCCTGTCCGTGAGCTACGAGTTATTTTCTAGGCTATGCGTTATTTCTACAGACCTTCTTGATTCTTTTTCTCATTTTATTCCTCTCTTGAATCATTTTTACTTGAATCAGAATTCTGTACCTTGGGAGCCCCCATCCTGCTTGAATCACTAGAATCCCTGCTCTGGGGATCATCCTTTGCTCTGAACGCCTGTCATGTGCTTTCCCCAAACCTTGAGTACATTTCGGGATCACCTGGTGTCCCGTCCTTCCCCCACTAACGTGACAGGGGCCGTGGGCCGAGTCCCTGACTGCCCTGTGCCTCCACCATCTCATCTGCAAGGAGAGCTCCGTGGCGCCATCACACGCGGGGCTTCAGGGACTCGAACAGTGCCTGGCACAAAGCGAGGCCTTAATACAGGAGGTATTACGGTTACACTATTGACGTTTTTAAAATCACATTGTCAAGTGTTCCTAAGGGTTTATGTCACGAGACACTGTGTGAGTCCTACGAATTGACCAAGAGAAATATTTAAAATATTTTGTGACTATAAATGATTACCCACAAACTGAGTCCAAACATTTTATAAAAGTATAACCCACTGAAAACCTGCTTTTGCCCAGCATCATCTTAGATTTGTTTAAACACAGTTATCTCTTTTTTTTAATGTTTATTTTTGAGAGAGAAGGTTAGAGTGCAAGCAGGGGTGGGTAGGGCAGAGAGAGGGGGACAGAGGATCCGAAGCGGGTTCTGCCACTGACAGCAGTGAGCTCGATGTGGGGCTCAAACTTATGAACCGCAAGATCATGACCTGGGCCGAAGTCAGATGCTTAAGTGACTGAGCCACCCAGGTGCCCCAAAACAGTTTTCTCTTTTAAACCTCACAACAGATTTTTAATGAGAGCTTTGGGCTCTGCCCCTTTTACAGACTGGAAAATCAAGGTTCGGAGAGGTGAGGGAACTTGCCCACAGTCACTCAGCCAGTGAATGACCAGGGACGGAGCAGGTTAACTTTCCTGTAATTTACTGCCTACGGATGAATTCCGGAGCAAGCGCAGGCATGACTTCCCTGCAGGTAACATACAGAAAGGTAGTCGGCCTGCCAGACCCCATGGTCAGGTGGACCTGAGGCAGGTCAGAGAGCAGAGAGCTTTGACTCACAGATCCTCCTAACTCAGCCCGTGTAAAGCAGTGACCTGTCCTTACCCCTTCTCGCTCCGGGTGAGTCACAACAGCATCCTTTGAATTTTGTCACCACCAACCAGGTGTGTTCATGGACCATCCTTAAATAAGATGCCGGCACATCCTGGCTGGATCGCAAGGAGCCCAGGTGCTGCCCTCAGGGGCGCTAAGCAAAGTGTCATTGACGGCACAGGGTCTGGGGGCGAGACCCACCGTGTTCAGTCCATGTTCAGTGAGCGATCTGGCCCCGCGCCACACAGAGAACTGCCGGGTGGAGAGACAGATGGACGATGGGGAGCCTGAGGCTTCCCTAAGATCCCAGGTGGGCCTTCTGTTGTTGGGCGAGGTCCTCCCCCAGGGGACCGCCCCGGCCGGCTCGCTCACCACGCCACCCTGCAGCCACCGAGAAAGCGCTTGTGTGAGTGCTGCAGCTGTGGGCTAGACGGCACCACCCTGCGATTCTAGCAAATGAAGTTAAGAATTCACAGGGGATTCTGGGAGGAGTTCTCTTCAGGCTGGAAAGTGGATGAGGCCACTGTCCTGCATGAAAACACAGGGAGACGAGGGAGGAAGGCAGGCTCGCCCGCCCCTGTGCCCCCTGCAGACACCACATGGGGGCAGATAATCTGATGTGGCCTGTGGGCCGCGTGCTGCTAAGTGCTGGGGCTGGGGGGTGGGTAGCAGCCGGTGAGGCTCCCACGTGCTTGGGACTGCCCCCTGCAAGCAGGAATTGACATATTCTCAACAAATAAAATGACTCCCTTTAAAATGACTTGCTCTTGGGGTGCCTGGGTGACTCAGTGGGTTAAGCATCCGACTTCAGCTCAGGTTATGATCTCACAGTTTATGAGTTCAAGCCAAGCCTTGGGCTCTGTACTGATAGCTCAGAGCCTGGAGCCTGCTTCAGATTCTGTGTCTCCCTCTCTTTCTTCCCCTCTCCTGCTTGCGCTCTGTCTCTCTCTTTCTCTCAAGAATAAATAAACCAAAAAACCTTAAAAAATAAAAATAAATAAATGAAATGGCTTGCTCTTGAAGGGCAGGGCTCACCTGCTTTCCTCTCAGCACCGGATGCTTTGGGTTTGATTGCAGGGTGGTGCCAATTGCCAGGCATTGGGCACTGGGTGGGTAGGTGGTGCCAGGTGATAGGAGAAGGTTCCTGGTGCTGAATGAAGGGAGCCGGACTACAAATACCCAGGTCAGAGATAAAGCTGGTATTCAGTGAGGACTGCAGGAGAGAGAGAGCTGCCTGGGCTGGGGTGTTTTGTTTCTTTGTTTGATCTTTTTTGTTTGTTTTTGAGAGAGAGTGATCAGGGGAAGGGCAGAGAGAGAGAATTGCAAGCAGGCTTCATGATGTCAGCATAGAGCTGAATGCGGGGTTCGAACTCACAAACCGTGAGATCGTGACCTGAGTCTAAATCAAAGGTCAAACGGTCAACTGACTGAGTCACCCAGGCGCCTGGAGCTACTTGGTCATTTTAAGGAAAACAAGGAGGGAGGCACCTGGGTGGTTCAGTCGGACTTCAGCTCAGGTCATGATCTCACGGTTCCTGGGTTCGAGCCCCCCTCGAGCTCTATGATGACAGCTCAGAGCCTGGAGCCTGCTTTGGGTTCTGTGTCTCCCTTTCTCTCTCCCCCTCCCCTGCTCACACACTCTCTCTCTCAAAAAATAAACATTTAAAAAAAATTTTAAAGAAAACAAGGGAGGGGAAGAGAAGAGAGAATCAGGGAGAGAAAAATTACAAAACGCAGGTGAGAGGGTCGATCGGTGTCAATGCAGTTAGGCCATCAGTGTCTTTTGCTAACTGCCATTAACGGGTCAGCTCCTCCCTTCCTTCTGAGGCTGGGGAACAGCGACCCTCCTTCGTGATGGCTGCAGTTTAGAGGAATGGCTCGCAGGTCCTTGCGAAAGACACCCCTGGGTTGTAGGAGATACACACGCATCTCGGAGGGGCAGAGGAAGGACTCACAGTCCTAAGCTTTTATGGTGAAGGCTCTCAGAAAAGAAGGCCGGGCGTTGGCAGCCTTGAGCTTCCCCAGACAGAAACCCAAGGCAGGCGCTGGGCCGGCCCTGCAGCCTGGCCTCCGGCCGCTAGGAGACCCGCTGGAGTTCGGGCGCGTCTCTGGGCGCAGAGACTTGGATGGAGACGTCACGCCAAGACCTTTTGCTGTTCTCAGTACAGAGCACCCCAGGGAGCCCCATTTTCTGTGTCAAGGCAGATGAGGTGTCTCCAGAACGGGCAGGCCCACCGCTCAGGGTTCTTCCCGTGCGTGTCCGCAGTCCTGCTGGAAACCAGACCTGGGAAACCCATAGGAAGGGGTGACGCCTGCTGGAGACGCCTGGACTCTTGAGCAGGTTTCCCGTGGCACCGCCTCCTCACCCCACCCGAGATGAGCGGCCGGCCCTGTTCTCGGAGGTCTCTGCCAGACTGTGGCGGTGGAATGGTGTCGCGGTCACGTGACCCGTGCGTCCTTGAGCAGCAGGTAACGTAGCCCGCTGTCCCGTCCCCGCAGAGGCCGCCCCGTCCTGGACTGTGGCCGTCGTCCTGGCTGCCTCCGTGTGTGTGGCCTTCCTGCTCCTCGGCTGCTGTTCCCTGCTGTGGTGCCTGTACAAGAAGACCAAGCGCGCCTTCTCCCCTGGGACCTGTCTGCCTCAGCACCTGAAAGAGGTAGGCCTGCGAGGCGGCCTGATTGGAAGGGACCTCCTTTTTCTCTTTTTAATGTTTATTTTTGAGATAGCAAGCAGGGGAGGGGCAGAGAGAGGGACACAGAGAATCCTAGCAGGCTGTGTGCTGTCAGCGCAGAGCCCGACGTGAGGCTCGGACTCTCGAACCATAAGATCGCGACTCGAGCCGAGATCAGGAGTCAGACGCTTAACCGACTGAGCCACCCAGGTGCCCCGAAGGGGACCTCCTTTTAAGTCAGGGCCGGCTAATCCCATGCAGTGGGCTGTCCCGGAGAATGACACCACTTCAGGGAAGTCTGTGGTCACGGAACAGCCCACGGGGAGGAGGCCAAGCCCTCCCTCCAAGCTGGACGCCGTTCCTTCTGCGACGTTCCCTGCCTGAAGCCCCAAGTCGTCAGGGGGGCACTCAGCCGTGAGACACCCGCCAGCGGTGTTCCTGATGGCCAGGGCAGCAAGGGTCTCCTTCCAGAAGGAGACCTGGGGAATACACCTCAGCGTCCACTGCAGTTCACCCCTTATACCCCAGGGACCCACCGGAGTGGCACCTCCAGGGTTTGAGTCACTCTCTTCCTGGGAGAAGTTACAGGAGGAAGGTTAGCGGAGCCAGTGCCAGCACCACTGCTGGGGCCCGTCTCAGGAGCACGGGTGACGTGGTCTCATGGCTCTGCTGCCCCCTGTTGGCCCTGCTCCCCGCTCCCCTGCCATGATTGCCACTCATCACGTTGCACGCCCCAGGCCCTCAGCCCCGAGAAATTACAAGTCTCTAGTCTTGGGGAGCCTCAGGCTTGGGCCACTGTGCTTGTCCACCTGCCATCAGAACAGCACAGGGGACACCCTGAGACAGCTGATGACTCACAGTCAGCCAGTAGAACTGCACAGGGGATGGGGCGCCCGGGTGGCTCAGTCAGCTAAGCGTCCGACTTTGGCTCACGGTTCGTGGGTTCGAGCCCTGCGTCAGGCTCTGTGCTGATCGCTGGAGCCTGCTTCGGATTCTGTGTCTCCCTGTCTCCCTGCCCCTCCCCTGCTCGCACTCTGTCTCTCTCAAAAATAAATAAGCATTAAAAAAAAAAAAAAACTGCACAGGGGACACCCTGAGACATCTGGTGACTCGTTCCTGTGCCAGCTGGGCTCCTGCATGAAGAGGTTACAGGACTCTCCTCCTGTGGCCCCTGGTAAAAAGGCTCCCCCTGTGAGAGCCCTCTAGACCAAAGGTCGGCAAACTTCCTTAAGAACTAGATAAGCAAATACTTCAGGCCTTGTAGGCCAGGAGGCAAAATCAAGATATTATGCGGGTATTTATATAACCACTTACATGTAGTTGTTTAAAACTTTTAAACCATTCTTTTTTTTTTTTTTTAATGTTTATTTATTTTTGAGAGAGAGCACACACACACACAAGCAGGGAAGGGGCAGAGAGAGAGGGAGAGAGAGAGAGAGAGAAAGAACCCCAAGCAGGCTCCATGCTTTCAGCCCAGAGCCCAGTATGGGGTCAGAACTCGCAAACCGTGAGATCATGACCCAAACTGAAATCAAGAGTTCGATGCTTAGCTGACTGACCACCCAGGCACCCCCCGAAACCATTCTGAATTCCTGGGCTTCACCATAGTTTGCTGACCCTGCTCCAGACTCACAAGAGCCTAAAATTGATTGAGCACCGTAGGTGGGCCCAGGGAGTGAGGGTAAGTGCGGCCACGGCGGTCTCTCCCCCTTGGTTCCTGACCTCTTGTACTCTGTCTGTTGAAGACGCAGCGTCACGTAACAGCCCTTGCTTCTGGGCGCACTCTGGGTGCCAAGGGTTGATACCCGCTCTCGCAGGGCACCGTTTCCTAACTGGCTCGTCACCTGCACCTTCAGCTGGTCAAAGTCCGCTGGCCCGCCAAGCTGGCCGCTGCTGGGTGGTGCTCTGTGTGGTGTCACTGGTGGGTCCCTTAGACACATGCCCACTCCAGCCTCTCTTGCCATCAGTGGGCCCCCGGTCTAACATGATACCAGGTGGGGCCATATTAACTTGCCGGGGCTTCCGTCACAACGTCCCACAGACCACGTGGCTTATACAATGGAAGTTTATTGTCTCTCAGTTGTGGGAGCCAGAGGTGTGACCGGTAGCTTCCTTCTGAGGCTATGAGGGAGTCTGTTCCCAGCTCTGCTCTGGCTTCTGGTGGTTTCCGGCCATCTTTACCATCCCTTCGCTGGTAGATGCATCGTCCCCCAACCTCTGCCCTCATCGTCCCATGGCGTCCTTCACGTGTGTGCTCGTGTCCACGTTTGCTCTTCTTATAAAGACCCCGGTCGTATGGATTAGAGGCCCGCCCTAAGGAGGCCTTTCTAACTTGATAACCCCTGTAAAGACCCCATCTCCAAATCAGGTCACATTCTGTGGTAGTGACATCGGAAGGGGCGGCAAAGCACTTGACTTTCGTTGACACTTGTCTGAGGAACGATTTGCCATCCTGTCCGACAGGGCCTGGGTCAGCGCTGCTGACGTCTGACAGAGTGGTGGCTCCATTGGCACGGGGTCCCGTGGTGGCCTCGGAGTCCTTGTATGACACGGAGAGCCTTGGAGCCGCTCCCCTGGTCCATTCACACGCCTCTCCCCCAGACTTCCTCACCCCTGACCCTCCCTGACCACCAGCCTAGCCATTAGCCTCTGCCTGTGAGGCCACAGGGAGCCTGGTCCTGGGGCCACTTTTCTTTCACCACAAGGGAATGACCAGATCCCCGGCCCGCCGCTCTGCACGGTGGAGGGCTTTCCCCTCTCCACGGCCATGCAGGGCCCCCCGCTTCGGGCTGTAGTGCTACCATGGGCTGCTTTGGGTTTGTGCCCACGTGCCACGCCAGCCCCCCTGTGGACCACGGTTGGCTTTTTCCTCCTCCTTCAGCTCGTGTGGACAGAGGCAGACACGCTGGCGTGGCAGGGGTGGGCGGCGTGGGAGACTGGGGTCCGTGCACGTGCACCCTTGGACCTCACTTCTGGCCACAGTAGAGGCTGTGACTCTACTGGGTTCCTGTGATGTACCGGAGCTGTTTTACCACCAGGGCATAACTCTCTGCTGCAGGTGGCCTGGCCTGGTCCCAGAGTTGCTGTCATCTGCATGGTGATTCTCCTCTTAGGGCCTGCCGTGCACTCCACCCGGCGTGGCCGCCCACCGCAGGCCCCCACGGATCGGCCAGGCCACACGCACTTCGTATCATTGGGTTCAGTCACCACGTCGTCATTGGTAGATGACGCCAGGCCTTCATGCCCCTGCCTCAGCCAGTCATGAGATGTGCCAGGGCAGCTTGCCCCATAGTGCGTACCTCCTGCGGGGCCCTCTCCTGCCCTCGGCAGCTGCCCGTGTCGCTCTACAAACCCACTGGAGTTGTGTTCCTTGGTGTGGAACGTGCCACCCCCAGACCCACAGAGGCTCACTCAGCAAGAATGCGAGTTCTGAGCAGCGGGAGAGGTGAGATACCATCATTGGTCCTTCACTTTAGAGAGGGCGTCCGGCGGGTCCTCCTCCAGGGGCCCCCTAAAGGTTCGCCGATATGGCGGCTCCCTGAATGTTCACGCAGTGAGTTTCCCGAGCCCTGAGACGCTTGTGTGTTACCAAGGCCTTGCCCCGTCTTTCTCTTCTGGTCCTGTTACCGTTTCATCGTGATAGCTGGTGTCAGGCCTTGTCCCCACACCACCCAGTCAGTTGGTAGCAACTGCCCCGGGGAAGGACAGAGTCCCTGGGGTCCCCTGCGCTTCTGTATAGGGCAGCTTCTGGACTCTGCCATGAGCCAGGCCAGCCTCAGTGTTTCCAGAAGCTGTGGAACAAGGTCCGTGAGGGCTGGTCTGGGCCACACAGCATCCGTGGTGAAGGGAAGGTGAGACACCTGACCACAGGCAAGAGTTTCCGAGCAGTTAGAACCTTCTGTCAAGAGTGTCAACCAAGACTACAGCGGCCAGAAAGAGCCAAGAGGCGTCTGTGAGCTCCTGAGAAGCAGGAAGAACAAAGAGGGGCAGCAGGCCCTTTGTTCTGGGCAGAAGGTGTTTGGAGACCCAGGAGGAAGCAAGACTATTCACCTGCTGTTTTTGCTTCTGGCTTGTCATCACAGAGACTGGCCGGACAGGAAAGGACAGCTGGAGCCCGTGCCGCAGGGCAAATCAAAGCCAGAGCTGTTGGGAGGAGCCTCTGCTCCAAGACTAGAAGACTTTCCCCCCCGGCCTGCAGAGGCAGCCCCTGGAATGGCTGAGGAATGTGGGCACGGGGGCTGGAGAAGGGGGCCAGAGTGGGGAGCACGGAGGAAGCACCAGGAAACTGCGAAGAGTGGGATCATTGCATCGTGAGAGGCTCCAGCCTGGCGCGTGATGTAAAGGTTCGCTGACCGTGGCCCAGGGAACAATCTGGGTTTTGGGAGACTTAGCGGGGACGGGGACTTTGAGTTGGAGCCATAGGGAGGTTCATCTGTTGAGTTTCTGGACGTGTCCCACCTGGACACCAGCCTGACCCTTGCTCTCCTGAGATCCAGCACATCTCCATCTGTTTTTCCATGTCCCCTTTCCCAGGAGAATCAAGAGGGGTCCTAGTCCATTCTTACAAACCCACTGGATCCGAGAGTTTGGGGAAGTTACTCCCCACGGTGTCTTCCTTTGCGCAGTTGAGATCTGGATGTAATTCCTCTCGCCCGTCCCCTCCCTGCTGTCCGGTGGGAGGTGGAAATCCTGTGGCATTGAACCAAGCCCCATCAGAGGGTTGAGTGTGTGTGGATATCACATTAAGAAGGGAGCAGACTGTCAGAAGTGAAGCCGCAAGTAAACAGTGGCCGGGAGAGGGAAACTGCAGAGCTTCGAGACCGTCTCCACCTCATTCTGAAGAGCATCGGTGGACCTACCAAGAGGAAAAATGGCAAACGTGAAGTTGGCAGATATTGTAGAAAACACCTTTCATCGTTCAAAGGGCGGGAAAGACCCAGATGGTTAGACTAGGGTTCCTGCCCGTAACTAGCCCCATCCCCTAAAAGAGACAAAAAAACAAGGCCATGTGCGTTAAATGTGCTAGATAGAAACAGCACAAGGCATGTGTATTTGAAATTGACAAGTAGCCTCTTTGTTGGGGTTTTTTTCCCTTAAATAAAAAAGGGCAGATGAAATTAACATTGACAATATATTTATGTAACCCGGTATTTACAAAATATCACTTCAACATACAACCAGTATTCTTTTTAACTTTGGAAATATTCGCATTCTTTTTTCATAGAGTCTTCAAAATAAGGCATTTCTCACAGCACATGTTGATTTGCCACATTTCAGGTGGTCAGAAGCCACATGCAGGTTGTGGCTGCCAGGCAGTTCAGGGCTGAGGGCTGAGGGCTAGGGGCACATCAGGTACTGGTAAGTGCCAAAGAGAGCCCCTAACTCAACCTGAAGATGAATGGGAGATTCTGTTCATTATTCTAAGACACATTCATCCTGTGCCTGCGACATCCTGCTTCCTAGAGAAAATGACACTCAGGCTGTGTTAGTGCCACATCGTCATGATCGGTCTAAAAATCTCCCTCCCAGTTTAAAAGAACCATCAGCGGCACCTGGGTGGCTCAGTCGGTTAAGCGGCCAACTCTTAGTTTTGGCTCAGGCCACAATCTCACGGTTTGTGAGTTCAAGACCCGAGTCAGGTTCTGCGAGCCTGCTTGGGATTTTCTCTCTCTTTCTCTCTCTCTCTCTCTCTCCCTCCCCCCCCGCCTCTCCCCCCCACCTCTCCCCCCTTCTCTCTCCTCTCTCTCTCCTCTCTCTCTCCCTCCCTCTCTCCCCCTCCCTCTCTCTCCCTCCATCTCTCTCCCTCCCTCTCTCTCTCCCTCCATCTCTCTCCCTCCCTCTCTCTCTCCCTCCCTCTCTCTCTGTCTCCTCCCTCCCTCTCTCTCTCCCTCTCTCTCTCTCTCTGTCTCCTCTCTCCCTCTCTCTCTCTCTCTCCCTCTCTCTCTCTCTCCCTCTCTCTCCCTCCTTCTCCTTCCCTGTCCTTCTCCCTCTCTCTCGCTCTCTCACCCTCCCCAGCTCAATTTGCCATCTTGACCATTTTTAAGTTCAGAGTTCAGTGGTGTTAAGTACATTCACACTGGGTCACATTGTTGGACAGCCATCACCACCGTCCATCACCAGAACTTTTTCATGATCCCAAACAGAAACGCTACCCCTATTAAGCAAGAACTCCCCAGCCCCCCTCCCCAGCCCCTGGCACCCCCATCCTGCTTTCTGTCCATGATCTTGACTATTCTAGAGAGCTCACATAAGCAGAACCATACAACATTTGTCCTTTTGTGCCTGGCCTCTTCCACCGACCATCATGTCCTCCGGGTTCAACCACGTAGCATGTGTCAGAAACACATTCCTGTTAAAGGCTGAACAATTTTCCAGTGTATGGATAGAGCGCCTCTTATCCGTTCCACCATTGACGGGCACTTGGGCTGCTTCTACCCCTGGCTCCCGTGAATGACATTGCTGTGAACATGGGTATACAGATATTTCTTTAAGACCCTGCTTTCCGTTCTTCTGGGTATGTATTCAGAAGTGAAATTGCTGCATCATATAGTGATTCTATTATTAATTTTTTTGAGGAACTCTCACTCTGTAATTTTCACATCCTTTAAACTCGCATTCTCCAGCCAGGAGTTCTATATAAAATCTATGTAAGCCCAGAAAAAGAAAAGGGAAAATTTGATCATTAACTGGCTTTTTTTTTTCCCTCCTGCAGTTTTTGGGCCACCCTCATCAGAATACGCTTTTGTTTTTCTCCTTCCCGCCCTCTGATGAGAATGAAGTCTTTGACAAACTGAGTGTCATTACACAAGTCTCCGGAAGCAACACGCAGAATCCTGGTGATGGCTGTACCCTGGGGACCCTGTCCGGGCAGGGACTCTCCGGGCTGCTCCCTGAGGAGGAAGTGCGCCCAGCTGAGTACAGCACCCCCCTGGTTCTCTCACCTGCGTCTGAGGGTAAACAGAGCGGGAAACCACCTGGGCAAACCCCAAATCTGGATCTCAAAGATTCCGAGACAACACATAACAACCAAAAGGCTGCATTTTAAAGACTCACTTGGCAAAAATAACTCCATGTTGGGAATTTGCTGCTTTATACAGGCTTTAATGACTTTAAAAAAAGAAAAAAAAATGTTGACCACTGGGAGTATAATTTCCAGCCTCTTACGCTCACTAATATACAGAATACGTTTTAATTATAAGAAACAAAGATATTTAAAATGAGGAATAAAAACAGGTGCTGTAAAATCCAACCAGACTGTCAATAGACTGATCCAAAAAACAGCCTCAACTCAAAAGTGGTCAGCAAACTCCGGATTCTCAGGGATACTTGGCCTGGATTTATTTTTCTACTGTAGATGTTGTATATAATGCTGGTTCTCTATTAAAGTTTTATTCTCTATTTTTCTGTGTGCATTAATGTTACTACATTTGGGCAGTCATCAGATTTTGAATGAGGCTCTCATCTGCCATTTTTGGTGTCCATTCATTTGACAGGTATTCCTTAGTCCCTTCCTCCTGTCACCCAGGCGCCACACCAGGTGAGGGTCTAATAGCATCTGGGAGCTATCAGTCTAGGAAGCTTTAAATTCTACCTCAGGCACCCTCTCACCTGTGACCCCTCAGTTTCCTCATCCGTATGTGGAGATGAAAAGACCTAAGGGGTGCTCCTGGGCGGCTCAGTCGGTTGAGCGTCTGACCTTGGCTCAGGTCATGATCTCACGATTCGTGAGTTCGAGCCCCGCATCAGGCTGTCTGCTATCAGGGTCCAGAGCCTGCTTCAGATCCTCTGTTCCCCCTCTCTCTTTGCCCCTCCCCTTCTCTCTCTCTCTTTCTCTCTCAAGAATAAATAATTTTTTAAAAAGATCTAAGGATTAGTCATCCCCCATAAAAAGTACTGCTCCCGATGCCCACACATAGTAGGTACTCAGGAAATGGTAGCTGGGTATGACTTTAACTCCACAAACTTAGGTCAGCAACAAATGTCCCTTCCTCCATGCCAGACTGCCCAATAAACAGATGCATTGAAGGTCACAAAGATAAGAAAAACACTTCTTCAAATAACTTGACATTTTTAAAATGAAACATCATGGATGTGGGTGGGAATGGGGAGGCAGAGGAAGATCAGAGGATTGTTGACCTTCCTTGCACTCATTTTATATGTCAGTCTTTTTTCATTGTTTTCAATAGCATTGTGAAGGAGCCACCACCATATTATCAGTTCTCAGTGCCCCCAAAGACCTTCCTCTGGTGTGGGGCGAGTCTCATGACAGGGGAGACACTGATTCTCTTCCCCAGTTGAGTCCTTCATCCTGACACATCCACGGGTTGGGGGGGGGGGGGGCTTCCAAGTTCTGCACGTGTGGAGGCATCTGGCTCAGGAGAGAAGAAATGGGACACCCCACTGCGCACCCTCCCTTGCTTTGGACACTTGCACTTTTATGCCCACCTGGTACGTGACTCTCCCTCACCTTGGAAATGTGAACCCTTCCTCTCTGCTTGGCGCTCCAAATTCCTAGTTCCCTCACCACTGGGCTACAGGCACACAAGCCAGGCTCCAGCCCAGCTTTGACTTAGAAAATGGGCGGCAGCAGGAGGTAAGGATCCTGGGAGAAGTAGCCGGCGGCCAGGGGAACTCACCACCAGCAGCAGCAACGTGCCCATCAGACTGCGTCTGCTTTGGACACTGTTTCTGCCTGGGTCCCCACTAAGTCTATTTCCCCCAAGTCTTCCGGAGACTCTGTGAGCTCCTCTGATCATATTGAGAAACTCCTTTTCTTCTTGTATCAGCCAGAATAGGTTTCTAATGTTTGCCTCTAAAACCCTGAATGGGCCTCCAAGAGTGAAATGGAGTGGATGCGGATTTCCCAGTCCCAAAAATGCACCGAGCAGGCGCAGGAGGAAGGCGAGAATGAGGTATCTCTGCCTGGTTTCCCAGCAGAGGGGACTGACATAACAGTTTCTCTTTAGAGGTGGGAGGTCCTGAAGGGCTTCAAGGGAAGGAGCTGAAGCCCAAGATTGGCTAGCTGGGGTCAGGGCCCCCTAACCAGACTCCTACCTAGAATGGGAGAGAGACACAGGGAGGGAAGAGGAAAGGAGAGCAAAGCATGGGTCCTTCTGGGCCAGGAGCTGATAGGGGAGCCTCTGCCCCATGCTGCTGGCGAAGGCACCCCCTCCCCGGTATTTTGTGAGGTGGGGGTGGAACCCGAGGCATCTCTGTGACTGAGGACTCTAAGCACTCTGAGAAACGCACTGTTGTCTGCTCCTCTCACCCTACGCACACGCCCCACCCCCACTGCTGATGGATATTTGGTTGGTGCTGAAAAGCCCTCCCACATAGTGCCCATCCCCCTAGCACTCCGTTTATCTCTTGACCATCTCTTTAATGATGCAATCGGCTCACGTCTCTGCAATAGTAAATAGGGGACATAACTATCCTTTGGCAACCTTGGTGATAAGGAATAGCCCATTTAGACTTCCATTTCCTGCAATATGGCTGATGAACCAATGTCCCTGACCCTCAGATGAAATCAACTGAAATGCTGGATGTAATAGGTATTTTTAATATATTTTGTTTATTTTTTTAATTCCTTTAAAGATTATTTTAGAGAGAGGGCAGGAGAGAGCGTGGGAGGGGCAGAGAGAGAGGAAGAGAGAATCCCAAGCAGGCTTCGAGCTGCCAGCACAGAGCTTGAACTCATGAACTGTGAGATGATGAACTGAGCCGAAATCAAGAGTCAGACACTTGACCAACTGCGCCACCTACGTGCCCCTGGATGTAATGTTTTTTAAAAATGTTTCAAGGAAGGAATATTCAGAGACCAAAACCCACCAAAGTGGCCCAGTGCCACCTTTCCCTTTGAGGACATTTGACAAACCCTATAGGTATCAGCCCCTCACAAAGGCTCAGGGGACAGAAGACAAAGATCAGGGCTTGCTCAGGGTAGAGTTTAAAGGAACCCTCCCCCTAAATCTGAAATCCCAGAGAGCCAGCCCTTCTGTGTAAGGGTGACTAGGAATAAATGAATCCCAACGCAATGCATGTTGGTTTCCTGGGGTTGCCCTGACAAAGTACCACAAACTCAGTGACTTAATGAAAACACATTCTCTCATAGCTCCGGAGGTCAAACACTCAAAATTAGTATCACTAGGCGGAACTCAAGGTGTTGAAAAGTCTTCAGAGTTTTGGGGGACAATCCATTCCTTCTTCTTGCAAATGCCAGTGACCGTTGGTTCGTGGCAGCCTTACTCCAGTCTCTGCCTCCGTGTTCACATGAACTTCTCCCCTTCTGTGGGTGTCTTCCTCACTCCTCCCCTCTTGTTTTAAGTTTATTTATTTTGAGAGAGAGAGAGTAGGGGAGGGACAGAGAGAGAATCCCAAACAGGCTTCTCACCAGCAGCGCAGAGCCTAAAGTGGGGCTCGAACTCACAGAACCATGAGATCATGGCCTGAGCCAAAACCAAGAGTGGACACTTAACCAACTGAGCCACCCAGACGTCCCCCTCTGCCTCTCTCTTATGAGAACACTTGTGTTTGCATTCAAGCCCCATGCAAATAATCCAGGATAATTTCCCCATCTCAAGGACCTTAATTTAAGCACCTCTACAAACACCCTATTTCCAAAAAAAGCCACATTCACAGGTGTCAGACCTGGCATCTTTGGGGGTTATCATTCAGCCTACCACACACTCCTACAAGGAATTACAAAAGAACCTTTTTGGTCTTGGTTGTGTTTTCTGAGTGAAGGGGCAAAATATATCTTTCCTGAAAAGTTATCATCTCAAACCAAAGGTTTACAGCCCCAAATCACATTATCTGGATGGTCAAGTAAAATTTCAGGGCTAACTTAGAAATAGCGAAACCCAAAAGGAAAGTATCATGAGCAAGAGCCAGAAGGAACAGCAAGCAATTAAGCCAGACCCACAAAGGCTTCAGGACATCATATAAACAGAGAATATATAGCAGGGAATATTCCAGAATAGTTAAAAACAAGTAAGAGGGCATTGATAATATTTGGGATGCACAAGAGGCTGGACCATTCAGCTTTGCTGTGGTAACACATGAATCCCAAATCTCATCTGACTTTTAAGAGCAAAGACTTGTTTCTCACTCATTTTATGTGTGGCCAGAGGTCAATTGTGAGTCTGTTCTAATCTTAATGACTTCATTCTAGGGTCTAGGCTGATGACTGTGCTAAATGGAGAAATAAATGTCAACCCTTACAACAGTTCTTAGAGGTTTTGGTTGGACATGGAGCATGTCACTTCTGTCCATATCCCTTTGATCAAAAGACATAACCAAAGCCAAGGTCAACAGACTGGGGAAGTACTCCTCCCCAGGGAAGAATTGCGAGTCATATAGCAACAAGCAGGAATATATAGTGTTCTTACAAGGAAGGGAGAGAATTGGGAGCAATAATTATAATCTACTACAAACTGAGAAATGGCCAAATAGATTTGAGTGGTGGGGGGAGGACTTTGTGCAAATAGACCTCTAGAACGCAAAATATAATAATTGAAATGTAAAAGTTAGAGGATGGGGGGAGGCGTCTGGATGACTCAGTCAGTTAAGCATCCAACTCTTGATTTCAGCTCAGATCATGATCTCTGGTTTGTAAGTTCAAGCCCTGTGTCAGGCTAGTGAGGAGCCTGCTTGACATTCTCTCTCTCTCCCTCTCTCACTGGCCCTCCCCTGCTCGTACATGTGCTCTCTCTCCAAATAAATAAATAAATGTTAAAAATAAAAAGTGTGTGCTAGGAATTTACCCAAGGGATACAGGAGTGCTGATGCATAGGGGCACATGGACCCCAATGTTCATAGCAGCACTCTCTACAGTAACCAAAACATGGAAAGAGCCTAAGTGTCCATCAACTGATGAATGGATCAAGAAGATGTGGTTTATCTATACAATGGAATACTACATGGCAATGAGAAAGAATGAAATCTGGCCATGTGTAGCAACATGGATGGAACTTGAAGATGTTATGCTGAGCGAAATAAGTCAGGCAGAGACGGACAGATACCATATGTTTGCATGTATAGGAGGATTAGGAGGAACTTAACGGAGGATCGTGGGGAAGAAGAAGGGGAAAAATAGTTGGGGAGAGGGAGGGAGGCAAACCATGAGAGACTCTTGAATGCTGAGAACAAACTGAGGGCTGATGGGCGGGGGAGGGGGAGGGGGGTGATGGGCATGGAGATGGGCACTTGTGGGGAATGAGCACTGGTTATATGGAAACCTACTTGACAATAAACTATTTTAAAAAATAAAATAAAATAAATAAGTGCACCCAAAAAAGTGTGTGTGTATGTGTGTGTGTGTGTGTAGAGAGAAAGAGAGGAAGTAAATGTGACAAAGTGTTAACAGAATGCAGGGTATCGAGACATTCAACTTTCCCTAT